GATGACGTCACTTCTGGGTGACGTCATCGCGTTGGGCGCACCGGACTCCTTGGGGGTGGAGCTCCCCACTGGCCAGCTGGCCAGTGGTGGATTGGAGCCCCCGAAGCTGGGAGAACCCCACCCCCATTGGGGGGCTGGCAACCCTAAATGCAACCCTTGGACGATGGCTGCCACCACTGTATAAGAACATAAAAGAAGCCATGTCGGATCAGGCCAATGACCCATCTAGTCCAACACTCTGTGTCACACAGTGCCCCCCCGAAAAAAAACAACCAGATGCCATCAGGAGGTCCACCAGTGGGGCCAGCACCTAGCCTGCCCCCCCCCCCATATTTTCTGGTCTCCTTGCCAGTTGCGATAGAAATAAAAAATTTCAGTCCTCAATGTAATTTTTTTAAAGGAAATAATTTTAATAAAAGAAAGTATTTTTTTAAAATGAGGTCTGATAAGAGAGGAGAGCTGACTGTGATGATAGGAATGAGTTTGTGAAATTTACCAAGCTAAAACCAACGCAAATAATATTTGGAGAGTTGCATGGAAAACTATATACATGAAGCTACATGTGATGATTTGGTAAATTTAAATTTTGGGTCCAGCCTGACTTTCTTCCCTTAGCTATCTTGTTTTTACAGACTAGAGTTGGTTCAGGTTTCTGAATGCAAGAATACCATTTTTTTGCTTCCTTCTTTATGTTTAAAATAAAATAAGCACTACACCAGACTAGCTCTTCGATGAATTTGATGAAAGGCAACTATAGCAACTCAACACTAACAACAATGGAAGAAGGCGTCCCCCAAAATCCCTTCAGCAGGCAAAACAGCACTCATAATCAGTAAGGGACGGGCACAGATAGGGCTGTGGACTCTAGGATGGGAAATTCTTGGAGATTTGGGGGACAGTTGGGGTTTGGGGACCTCACCAGGGCCTAATGCCATAGAGTCCGCCCTCCAAAGCAGCCATTTTCTCCAGGGTAACTGACTTCTGGTCTGAAGATCAGTTCTAATTTCAGGAGATCTCCAACTCTCCCCTGGAGGTTGGTAACCATAGGCACAGACAATAAGGACTGTTCCTATAAATAGGGACAGTTGAACCATATTTGTCATCTTTGCACGAATTTCCTTCCTCAGAAATTCAGAAGTCCAAATGGTTCACTCGCCCATCCATGCAAGTCATTCTTCTGCCCTTGTTTTTTCTGTCTAAAGGAGCAAGCATCTTGTGTCCCCAACAGATCAGAGTTCCTTTTCTCCTCATCACAATCTTTCAAACCAACAAAGGGAGTTGTACCGTAACCTTTTGATGTATGTGTTATTGAGCCATCTCATTCAGAGTCCTTTGCTACAGCGTGAATACTTTAAGCTCAGAAGTGGTAACCTCACGGAGAGCTAGGTTACATTTTCAAGTGCTTCAGTATTGTTGAGTGACAACACAGCACAGGGGAAAAAAGAAAACATAAGCAAACCACCCTTTGTTAGAGAAACACGTTGCTCCTTTGCCTTCTCTGCCAGCTGATAGGGCTGGTGGAAGACCAAACAATAAGGTTTTTTTAACAAGCCATGATGATTGGTTGATGCTTCATCAACTGTTCATTTATTTGATCTCTAATTTGGCTTTCAATCCAGGAAGATCCTTATGGTTGGGCTCTTCTGCATTCTCATTTTCATCGCTTGTGTGTCCCCATTGCTTTGGGGGCGTTTTCCTTTTTTTCTGCACATGTTTTGCTCCCTCTAGAGATCAGTTCAATATTACACTGCTGTATGTCCAGCATAAAAATCTGCAGTTTAAATCTGTAGGGAGATATGCCAAATATGCAGCAATGTAATATTGAATCGACTACTAGCGGGAGCAAAACACGAGCAGAAAAGGGAAAAAAACCCAAAAATAATGACACACAAGCAACAAAAATGAGAATGCATAAGAACCCTTTGTTTCCACAGAATAATAAAATATATGAATATATGAACACACAACAGTGCTTTGTGGAAGTCTTTTACTCCTACTTACTGTATTGTACATTTTTTTACAAACACATTGATCTAACCCCTAAAATTAATAAAAGGGTTAAAGGTGATTGTTGGATCTGTGGAATTGCTGACACAAACTTTATACGTATGTGGTGGAGATCTAGTAGAATCAAAGAATACTGGGAAATGACTTTTAGAGCCATTTCTCAAAGAATAGGCAAAGAGTTCCCTTTCTCCCCTAAATGTTTCCTGTTGAATTGCATAGACCTCCTTCCTGAGTATACCCAGGAACTTGTTTTAAATGCCATAACCTCTGCAAGATTGGTCTTTGCTAGATACTGGGAAAGGAACATGGCTCCAAACAGAGAGGAGCCGTTAGAGAAACGGAAGGAATGGGTACAGTGAACTAAGCTAACTTGTATGCTGCATGGTAAAAATGAGATAAGTTTGATAAATGGGATGTTCTGACCAGGACGGCGAATTGAATTTAATAATGTCTGTACAATTTGTTTCTAGAACTGAAGATGAACTTGAGAAGCTTTGTATCCAACTTTCTTTTTTTTTTGTACTTAAGTTTTTTATTGAGTATATCTATCGGTCCATGATCACACACTCATTATCCATCTTATTGATATACTCATTTTCCATTTTTAACAATCATAATAACTGAACAAAATAAAAAAAAATTCACCTGAGGTTACTATTCCAACAGCCTGAAATTTTTACTCTCATTTAATACCTCTTCTTTTCATACGCCCCTATTTTACCCGTTTATAATTCCTGTCCAACTTCCCCATAGCTTATAGTTAATCATAATACAACTCATAATCTACAGTTCATTTCTACCTCAATTACTACTATTTTTCTTTTCAACTTTCTTTTTACTGAATAAAATATTTATTTGAAAACAAAAACTTAAACACAAAGTAACTCCGGTCCGAGCCCATTAATTTTGGCGAGCTCAGACTGGAGTAACTCCGCCTATCAGGGCTCTTTTTGTAGAAAAAGCCCAGCAGGAACTCATTAGCATAATAGGCCACACCCAGCAGCAGAAACTCATTAGCATATTAGGCCACACACCCCGACTGCACCACTCATTAGCATATTAGGCCGCATTCCCATGTTACCAGAAGTGTGGTCATCCAGCCACACCCACCTTTTGCTTCTTATTCTGTTTACCTTGTTTGTTGTCAAAACCCAGGACCTTTTTTTGTTGCAGGAACTCCTTTGCATGTTAGGCCACACACCCCTAATGTAGCCAATCCTAATGAGTTCCTGCTGTTGGGTGTGGCCTATTATGCTGTTCATGCCTGTGGCCAACTTGGGAGCCAGCCTGAACTCCGTTCCTGTGCGTTCCTGCCCCAAAATAGCCCTGCTGCTCGTAAAGTGAATTAAGTCCTGACCTGGATAGTCCAGCTAGCCTGATCTCAGAAGTTAAGCAGGGTCAGCCCTGGTTAGTATTTGGATGGGAGACCACCAAGGAGTACCAGGGTCATGATGCAGAGGCAGGCGACGGGAAGCCACCTCTGAACATCTCTTGCCTTGAAAACCCTGCAGGGTCACCATGAGTTGGCTTCCAACAACAACAACAAAAAAAATCAACTAACTCTATAGCTCTGCCTCTTAACTTTTCACTGCTGAGGGAGATGTAACATTTGTCTTTCCCCCTCCTCTTACTAGGATGTCGTGACCATGGACGGTTTGCCTTTTGACCTTACAGAACGGCAGGTATATAAAATTGGACAACAGATTGCATCAGCTCTGGTAAGCATACTAACATAACGCCGTCCTATCCCTTATTAGAGTTTTAGGAATACAAACATGGCACGAACGTCTACTCTAGATTTGGTCCACGAGAGGTATTTTTTCAAAAATCATCATTCTTTGAACATTGGACTCCTTTTGGCCAATGTAATTCAACGGGAAGAAAGCCCTCCATTGTAGCTGATCAGTGTGAACAGGGGACATTTTGTAAAAAAAGAGGTGCAGGAGCTCATTAGCATAACTCATTAGCATAACTCATTTGCATACGCCACGCCCCCTGACATGACCGGAAGTGTGTAAGAAGGCAACACCCACTGCTCAGGCTCCACTGGACTGTTTTGGATTGCTAGGGGGGGGGAATGTGCAGATCTGAATAAAACTTGGACTTAAAGGTGGCACTGGGCTGTTTTGGGCCGTCGGGGGGCCGGGGGGCTCTGCAACTTACCTGGCTGCTTCTTGCTCTGACTGAGGGCTGCTGGGAGCAGGGGGCGGGGCTTGTTGCATGTGCCCGCCCCCTGGGCTCTTTACTGCCGGAGCTCCGCTCCTGCGCGCTCCTGCAGGAAATGACCCCTGAGTGTGAAACCATTTCGCACCCACTGACAGAAAAAGGCTAACTGAGCCTTCCCCACTTTTTTTCCTCCAAGAGATGGTTGATTTAACATAGCTAAGTTCAATTTCCTTGTAGAACGCCAGATGCGTGGTGAACACGTGTTAACAGGGGTGACATCGTTACCAAAGGGTTAACGTGTCATCAGAAGGGTGCTGCAATCTATTCAGTTCAAGGGGGGTGGGGGGAAAGGTAGGACCGCAGCTGACAGCATGCCTTTTTGCCGGTTCCCCAGGAGTTTCTCCAGCAGAAGAAGCTGTTCCACGGCGACGTGGCAGCCAGGAATGTCGTCATCGGCCGTGACTTTACTGCCAAGCTCTGCAAGCTGGGGCTGGCCCACAGAAGCCACACCTGCGGACCCAGCACCGTGACGCGCACGGTCCCTCTCAAGTGGCAGGCGCCCGAGCGGCTCCTGAAGAAGGCGCCCAGCATCAAATCAGACATGTGCGGTTTGTTCCCATGCGTCTCCGGATTTAGCTTCCCCGGTCCAAGCTCCATGTTACGATGCATACTTAATTTTCAACAGATGGAGACTTCAGTCTGTTTCCAACGGATAACTCCAGAGCTCCAGCTCAGATTGTGTTATTAAAGAAAGCTGCGGGGTGCTTCTCCCCCCCCCCCCCCGGTTGCTTTCTCTAGAAGCGGTGAGGAAACTGCTAATACCGAAGCTTATGTTTTGTTTTCTTGCAGATGGTCTTTCGGAATCTTACTGTATGAGATGATCACATTAGGTAAGGCAAAGAAACTCAACCTGAGGCTATAATCTTTTGTTACTGCATCTAACTAGATGTGAGATCTGTGATTAAGAACTCCCGCAACTTCTCTTCTTAGGGCCAGTTTGGTGTAGTGGTTAAGTGTGCGGACTCTAATCTGGGAGAACCGGGTTTGATTCCCCACTCCTCCACTTGCACCTGCTGATGTGACCTTGGGTCAGTCACAAGCTCTGGCACAGCTGTTCCTGAAAGAGCAGTTTGTGTCAGAGTTCTCTCAGCCCCACCCACCTCACAGGGTGTCTGTTGTGGGGAGGGGAAGGGCAAGGAGTTTGTAAGCTGCTCTGAGACTCCAAGTGAAGGGGAGGGTATAAATCCAATCTCTTCTTCTTCTCTTCTTCTTTTTGAAAACTAGTTAGCAGCCCTGCAAAACTTCTCTGAAAGCTTAGAGAGAGTGACACAGGAGCTGATTCGGCATTGGCTTTTCCCTCCGTTGTTTTACAAAACCCATGCTGGAAGAGAAATTCCCCTCTGCATTGCATGCCGCTTTCACTTCCTTTGACCATCGGGTTTCGTGGCAGTGTCCACACTCCATGCCACTTTTGAGTTCTTGGGTCCTCAGATTTAATTGTGCCTTCTGCATAGATTTATGGCCACTTTATGGCCATTCAGGGGGGTGACTCTGCAGTCAGTACGGCGTTGCCCCCGAGGTATTGGGATGTGGTTTTGAGCTGCAGTTTTACTTCCCAGTTGAGAAAATGTGGAGCAAATACTAGATGCAGAATCAGTGGCCCTGAGAGAGTGTTTGCCTGAATTAAATCCCCCCTCCCTCTCAGGAGCTACAGGCTGAGGCCCAATCTGCATCTAGCATTCGCTCCGCTGTCTTACGAAGCCCACGCTGGAACAGAAATCCCCCTCTACATTGCATGCCGCTTTCACTTTGATTGATTGTCGGATTTCAATTTAAAAAATAACAACTGTGCACTGTAAAAACCCGCACAAGAGCTTACCAAAAGAGACTTCAACACAATAAGTAATTCAACACATGTAATCCATTATAGGAGGCATGTTTGGTCCAACTTACATAGCAGCAACCTTTGTAGGTGCTTTCTAAAGCTTAGGAGACCTGGCCCATATAGAAACTGAATAATGTTTACCTGTTAAGAAACTGCAATGAGACTTCCTGTAGTGGCTTTTAGTTCCTGAGGAAGGACCTGAAGTCCGAAACACTGATCAATACCTAGGAAAAGTGTTGGACATCTATTCCAGACTTTATTGTTTCCCTCTGAGAGATTTCTATTCTGGACTTTGTTCTTCCCCTTGGGGAAATTGTGGACTTTTGTATTTTCCTATGATGGATTACATGTGTTGAATTACTTATTGAAGTCTCTTTTTGTAAGCTCTTACTTGTTGAAGTCTCTTTTTGTAAGCTCTTGTGCGGGTTTTTACAGTGCACAGTTGTTATTCTTTGGTTTTGCTTGGTCATTGTTTACTGTGGACTGTATTATTGTTGTTATTGTCGGATTTTAATTTAAGACTGCATGCCGCTTTCACTTTGTTAGCGTCTGCATAGATGTATGGCCGTTTGATGGCCATTCAAGGGTGACTCTGCTGCAGTCAGTACGGTGTTGGTATCTGAATGTGATTTTGAGCCGCATCTTTTTCTGGTTGCAGTGTGGGTTCGGTAATACAGCGGAGCAAATGCTAGATGCAGATTGGGCCTGATTCTGCACTGGCTTTTCCCGCCGTTGTCTTACAAAACCCACAGTGGAACAGAAATTCCCCTCTGCATTGCACGCCGCTTTCCCTTTCTTTGACCATCGGATTTTGCGGTACCTTCTGCAGAGATTTATGAAAGCGATGGGAATGCAGAACGACACAGAAAACCCGACAGGCGTGCACAGTGAAAGCAAGGCAAAACACCAATGCGTCACAGGCCCTAGTCTGGCTCTCAGAAAGTGCTATCCATAAATGGGGATGGGCCAGGATACCGTGTGAACTGTTTTATAGAAGGAACATTTCTCATGTCAAAATTTGAGTTTTCACTGTCATATTTTGTCTTCCCACTCAGGAGCACCGCCGTTTCCAGAAGTTCCCCCGTCCGATATCGTGCAGCACCTTAACAGGAGGCACATCATGAACAGGCCTTCCAGTTGTCAGCCAGCCATGTAAGAACGCTCTTTCTCTCGCTTTACGCGCTTCCGCTGTTTAATTCATTCTCGGCATTGGCTCAGATTTCCCCAAAGAACCTGCTCTCCAAAGAACAAATCCTTCTTTCCATTTACAAGAAGCAACGCCTTTCCTTCACATCCAGACTCATGCGCTGCTTCATACTCTGGGCCATTTGCAAAAAAAAAAAAGAAACTGGTAGGCAAGGACTGCATTAATCCAGGCTCTAGCCCCTCCAGGAACAAAGGGGCAAAAAGGAGACCTTGTGATTTTACTATGGGACTATTACTGTCCTACAGCAGCCTAGGATTTTAGCTAGAGGCACGCTTTATGAAAACGCAGCTACTGAAGGTGTCGGGGCCAGGAAAGAAAGAGGCTAATTTGGGTTGCAGCTGCCTGGTGGTGGGGAGGAGAAGGAAAGGGATACATTAGTAATGCAGGAGGCTCTCGGGAGATAGAGCTAATGGCGCCTGCAGGAGGATCAGTTGGAAGAGATTTCTTCTTATCTCTTTCTCTTCACAAAAACTGCTTCCAAGGACTCCCCCAGAGATCTTAGTGCTATGAAAAGGCATTCCAATCAGGCGCAACTGCACTCCTACACTCACATGAGCCGCAGCTGTACCTTACTGTGGTGTCCAGAGGCAAAAGGTTCCGGGAAGGCGGCTGATAACCAGGTCTTACTAAGGTCCTCTTTGAGAGCTTTGGGAATTGAGAGCTTTGGGAATTTGATGATCAAGCTCCCCTTTCCAAGGCATGGATAAGAGCTGATAAGCGATGCACACAGTCGTTCTGCTTCTCTTCTTCTGCACAGCTGTCTCCACATAGTAGCCACCAGGCTCTTTGACTCCTCCTCACTTGTCACCCATGGGAATAATGGCTGCCAGATACAGTGCTGGGCATATCTTGATCTTGAGGCAGAAGAAAAAGAAGAGGGGGAGGGGGAGAAGTTGGTGTTATACCATGCCCCTCACTACCCAAAGGAGTTTCTGGGGTTGCCAAGTCGAATATCCTTACCGGGGGGGGAGCGTCGCCGGGCTCCGGGAGCTCTCCTCCAACACGCGACGTCCCGGAAATGATGTGCGACGTCAATCACGTTGGGGGTGTGGCCCCGATCGTCGGAGGGAAAACCATAGAGTTCTCCCTCCGATGATCGGGGCCATGCCCCCAATGTGATCGACGTGGTTGCGTCACTTCCGGTGACGCAGCCACACTGCACTTCGGGGGGCGGAGTTCCCCCCGGGGCCCAATTCCGCGGAAATTGGGCATCCAAAGCGGGGGGTTACCCGCCACCCGCCCCCACTTGGCAGCCCTAGGAGTCTCAGAGCAGCTTACAATCTTCTTTCCCTTCCCCTCCCCACAACAGACACCCTGTGAGGTCAGTGGGGCTGAGAGAGCTCTTTCGAGGACTGCTCGTGATAGAACAGCTCTGAAAGAACTTATGACTGACCCAAGCTCACACCAGCAGCTGCATGTGGAGGAGTGGGGAAATCAAACCCAGTGCTCCCAGATTAGAGTCCGCTCTCCTAACCAGTACACCAGATGACACCTGCTGATGGGCAATAAAGATTGTTGCCTAGCCTATGGGCCATTTTGCTCCAAGCACTCAGCCTTTGAAAACCTATCAAGCAACTCTGGGAAAGGCACAGTTGATAGTTCTGAGGGACTTCAAGGGGAAACTGCCTTCTCATCAGTGAGATTTATGAGGAGGACTGCCTTGACCAGAAGTTGGGGGATAATCTAGCTCAGGCCCATACTTAGAATTTTTCCGGGGAGGCGCACTGGGGCACAGGGTGTGGGGCACTAATTTAATTAACGAAGCTAATTAAATTAAGGCAGCTGAGGAGGGAGAAGGGCAGCCTCACTGGGTCTTCCTGCTGTAGTGCGGGGGGGGGGAGAAAGCAACGGCTGCAGCAGCAGCAGCTCACTGGCTCCCGCCTGGTGCTTCTCACCTGACCTCAGCCACTCACCCAACTGCAACAGCTGCCAGCACGGAACTTGGCCTCCGTGGTGAAGCACCCAGGCCCAGCTTCCCCTCCTTTTTGAGAGCGGCAACTGCCTGCCGGTGGGCCGAGGTGACAGAGCTCTTCCTCCTTCTCTCTCCCCTCCACTGCTCCCACAGCAAAAGGTTGGCTCCTGGACTGGCGTGGGGGCGCACCACTTTTCTTCTTCATGTGGGCCCTGCTGCGCCCTCCCCACTAGCTACGGCCCTGGTGGAGGGCATTTTGATAGGGGTGCCCCAATGCAAAAGGTGGTGCTGCCTGCTGTCCCCCCCCCACTGACTACCATGGTCTACTACTCCTTCTGGTAGCTCTCCTACAAGGGAACCTTTGCCTCGCAATGAATGTTTTCCTCAGGGCCAAATAAAGCTAGCAGCTTTTTCCAGCTGAGCCTTTATCTCCTGTGCCAGGCAGTCATTGAGGAGGGTAGACAGGCAGTCATTAAGGAGGGTGGCCAGGCAGTCAAGGAGTAGGGTGGCCAGGCAGTCATTGAGGAGGGTGGCCAGGCAGTCAAGGAGTAGGGTGGCCAGGCAGTCATTGAGGAGGGTGGCCAGGCAGTCATTTAGGAGGGTGGCCAGGCAGTCATTGAGGAGGGTAGACAGGCAGCAGTCCTTTCAGGCCTTGAGGCCCCCTTCCTCAACTAAGGAGACCAATAAATACAGGCGCAAAGTAACAGTACCTGAAGGAGATCCGCACAGCATTCAAGCAGTGTGGTCACCTCTTCCTCATCCCTGAAGGGAGGCAGGAAACCTCACCCCCATCTGAGCCAGTCCAGGCCTCAGTCCCATGGCCATCAGCAGCCATCTCCTCCACGTTGCACCCCAGTAGAGGTTGGTAGTGAGAGGAGGGGGGAATGGCGCCCCTTTGCCTTCGTTAAATAGCAGCTCTAGAAACATCCTAGCTTAATATGAGTCGTGCTGTGAACCAAAGCTGAAATAAATGCAATCAAAATCAGTCACTGTATTTGCCAATATTTGACATTTACAGTTCCCTGCCCCAATTAAAACAAGGATTACTGCAAACGGTGTCCTCCTGCCTGCAGATCAGCGCACAGACGTATATTTTTCTTAAGTCCGCCAAAGTCAGATAGGGACCTGTGACCGGGATCTGACCCAAGCTGGTTAACCCAGCTCTTTGTAGAATGAGGAGATCAAAATCCAGCGGACTGGGAGAAGGAGAACTGTGGTGCAGAAGGATTTGGCTGCTTCTGTTGGCGAGAGGATCGCATGCCAGAAGAGTTGGCAGCATCAACTGTGTACAGATGTATGAGCAATGAATATGGAAACCACAAACAGGGCCACTGCCAGCCTTCACAAAGATTATATATATGTGTGTGTCATCGTGGAAGTTCATTCCGAAGGTGTCCTTTGTGCTTCTCTACCCAGCCCCGTCATTGCAAATCTGTCACAGAGCTCAGAGCCGGGCTTTCACATGCTATTCAAGGCCTATTGTTATCAGCTGTTCCTCTCTGGCCCAGTTTTTGTTTCCATTAAATTTTAGAGAATCCCCCCCCTCTATCCAGTCCAGACGTTAGGATTCACAGAACGAAACAAGAGACATAATTTTGATTAGCCAAATACAGTTTTGGAAGAGATTCCCGCAGCCCTGCCACCTGTTTGCTTTGCAGGTGTGTATGTGTGTGTGCGTTTGTTGACTGACAACAGCAATTTAGGCAGTTTAGTTTTCATTGTGCCCCTGTGCTTTAGACCCCGTGCCAGTCTCCCTTGTGAGATTAAACACAGTTCCGGGGCTGTTAGAATCAACCAGGACTGATTTGCCACTCCAAACAGGTGGTTTGGGAACAAGGCTGATCTTTGGGTCACATGTGCAAGGAAATGAGGTGGCAGAGACCAGAGGGGGTAGAACGGAATGTGGACTTCAGACTCCTGGTGGAAGATCGACGTTTGGTAGGGGAAAAAGCAAGGCAAATAAAAGGAAGGGTTGGGCAGGGGCCATGGCTCAGTGGTGGAGCATCTGCTTGTCATGCAGGAGGTCCCAAGTTCAAGCCCTGGCCTCTCCAGGAAGAAGAAGAAGGAGGAGGAGGAGGAGGAGGAGGAGATTGGATTTATACTCTGCCCTTCACTACCCAAAGGAGTCTCAGAACGGCTTACAAACTCCTTTCCCTTCCCCTCCCCACAACAGACACCCTGTGAGGTAGGCGGAGCAGAGGGAGCTCTGACACAAACTGCTCTTTCAGGAACAGCTGTGCCAGAGCTTGTGACTGACCCAAGGTCACCCAGCCAGGTGCAAATGGAGGAGTGGAGGAATCAAACCCGGTTCTCCCAGATCAGAGTCCGCACACTCCAGGCGATATCTAAAACCTTCACCTACCTTCTATTTTATTCTGGATTTAAAAATGGAAATGATTTTTTTAAACCATGATCATAAGCAGCCCTGAACCACGAGGAAAGGTGGGGTATAAATGTTTTAATAATTAAATATAAATAAACAAACCCCGGGGACCCTGGAGAGCTGCTGCCAGCCTGAGCAGATGGCGCCAACCTTGGTGGGCCAGTGGTCTGACTCCGTAGAAGGCAGCTTCGTGTGTTCAGTCTGTCTCCCTGCTGCGTTAGTTTTCTGTTTGCATGGCATTTTTTGAATGGAAGGAACATTCAGAGCCGGAGTCTACTGCCTGCCGCTTCAAGTCCATTCTGAGGTCCCTGCTAGCTCAGCTGCACGTCTTGTCCCTGCATGCGTGAGCCAAGATTCTGGGGCAGGGCCGGCACCGGCACACCCTGAGTTGGGGCGGCTGTCAGGGTCTGGGGCTTCTGGCAGGGCCCACTGCTGTTGACCTCCCCACACCAATGTTCCCTCTAAGCTGTAGAGTCCTGTGGGCAAAAATTCTATTTTTTGAGCTGCTGGCATTAAAGTTGTGAGCGAGTGCTTTGACTACTGCATAAATTAGTTTGCTCTGGAGCCCTCCTTCCTGAGCTAAGACAGAAATGTATGAGCTGGAGGCTAAAAAAATCTGTGAGCGAGATTACACTCACTCAGCTTAGAGGGAACACTGCCCCACACCCAGTTACTTGCTAGTGCTCCGTTATGCTCCCAGTTACACGTACTGCCCAGTGCTACTGGGAAATGTGCTGCAGGCCGTGGTGAACATGGGTAGTAGAAGAGATCACACGGGCCAGTCAGAGGCATGCAGGTGGGTGGGAGGGAAGGACAGCATGAGGGGGGGCTGGTAGCGGGTAGAAGAGCCGAGGGAGGCCGGGGAATTCTCTGCTCCAGGTTCCCCCACACACACTCTGTTGCAGAGGGACCATCGTTTTTGTATAACCCTCACCGGCACAGTAAAAACAAAGCAAGTCTGGAGTGAGTTAGAGCTTTTGGAGGTCCCCCCCCCATAAATAATTGCTTGGATCAAGTTCTGTCTAATGTAAGGGCTCTTTAGACTGGGGAATGTTCGCCTGGGGGCTGCAGTCCAATGTGCCTTGAGAGCGAACTCTGAAGCCAATGCCTCATGTGCTTTGCTCCCTCTAGTGGTTTGATTTGATATCACACAGGTTTATTTCTGGCGTATCTCCCTGCAGATTAAAAACGGCAGAGAGAGATGCTGGAACTAAGCCTGTGTGATGTTGAATCAACCACTAGAGGGAGGAACAGTGTTCCATGTGAGGAACAGAAGCCCCTCCCCCAAGGAAACAGGAACTTAGCAGCAAGTAAATTGAGAATGCAGAAAAGCCCCTTGTTTGTGTGCCCACTCCCCCCTTCCCCCTCCATCTTCCCTGCACATGCAACTGAAAAACCTCCAGGTCTGGGAAGCCTTCAGACAAACTCCAGTTTGCTGTAATGCCCAAATGCAGGCATCCGGGCAAACGAGAGCTTTTTTCCTTCCATGCAACTGGAACCATTTGGAATCCTGATTCGATATTACACCTGTCTCTCTGTAGGTTTTTTGCAGGACATTAAACTGGTCCCAGATCACCGCAGACTGTGACAGCAGCCATGAAATTAAAAGACGCCTGCTCCTTGGGAGGAAAGCGATGGCGAACCTAAACAGCATGATAAAAAGTAGAGACATCACCCTGCCAACAAAAGTCCGCATGGTCAAAGCAATGGTATTCCCAGTAGTCATGTATGGCTGCGAGAGTTGGACTATAAGGAAAGCCGAGCGCCGAAGAATAGATTCTTTTGAACTATGGTGCTGGAGAAGACTCTTGAGAGTCCCTTGGGCTGCAAGGAGATCAAATCAGTCAATCCTAAAAGAAATCAACCCTGACTGCTCCTTGGAAGGCCAGATAATGAAACTGAAGCTCAAATACTTTGGCCACCAAATGAGAAGGGAGCACTCACTGGCGAAGACCCTGATGCTGGGAAAGATTGAAGGTCAAAGAAGACGGGGACGGCAAAGCATGAGATGGTTAGACAGTGTCATAGATGCAACGGACATGAAATTGAGCACACTTCAGAGGACGGCGGAAGACCGGAAGGCCTGGCGGGAGCTGATCCATGGGGTCGCGAAGAGTCGGACTCGACTGTGCGACTGAACAACAAACTGGTGTAATATCAGATTGGCCACTAGAGGACGCAGAATGCAGGTGGAACAGGAAGAAACGAGAACTTACAAGGGAGGAACATGAGAATGCAGAAAAGCCCTTTCTTCCGGGAAAGAGAAAAATTTCCAACTAGTGGCATCTTAATTTCCTGATGAGAAGCTATTTTCAGCTGGCTGTGAGCTATGATCCCAGTTGTTTGAGATGTCTCTTAAAAGACTGGAAACACATTTCTGGCAGATCTGATGTCCCGCAGCCAGTGAATTTAAACACTCTACAGCAAAAGCTATCTGTATCAGAGGGAAGTAAATTCCATCTCGCACCATGGCAAATGGTTGCTTCATAAGTCCGGGCTATCTTCCGATTTCAGAAATCCCCTAAACATGGGGGGGGGGGGGGAATAATTCAGAAATAACAATGAGAACCCTTTAAAAAGAAGATGTATTTCCGAAGAGACTTATCTGGTAATAAAACTCGTTCGTGCTCATGTTCTGCCTATTTTGATTCCCTTCTGGAAGCGATCCAAGAAGAGTTTATCAGAGAAACAATCTCACAAAACGGAACTGCAAGGCAAAGAAATCCAGGCACTTAATGCGTGCTTTCCTGCTCGCTCTGGGTGTGTGTGTGTGTCAGTCTGTGTAGGTAGGAAAACCCGTATTGGTCCATGTAATATATTTTAAAAAGTGACAAAATCCATGTAATACTTTTTATGAGGACTGACCAAAGTTACACAAAGTGTTGTGCAAGCTTTCAAGAACTTTTAATCAGGCTGGATGTTAAAAAATTTAAAAACAATGGAAGGATGAGAAGCAGATTTTTCTGGCCACAATGTTATGACATGATTTTACATGAACTCGTGACACTGTCTTATAGCCTTGGTCCATCAAGGTCAGTATTGTCAACTCAGACTGACAGCGGCTCTCCGGGGTCTCAGGCAGAGCTCTTTCATATCACTTACTGCCAGATCTTTTGACTGGAGATGCCGGGGATTGAACTTGGGACTCTCTGCATGCCAAGCAGAGGCTCTGCCACTCAGCCCCTCCCTCTGTGAAATGTATGCCGGCACAGTGCTTCACTTTATTGCACATTTGCTGGGAGGAATCAATTTGATGGTATCCACTCTTTGTTCACTCAGTGGAAATGCAGAGACCAGTTATAAGCCAATCTAAAATCCACTCAAACGCCAGTAGAGACACACATTTCCCTTGCGGGCCAAGAGCAAAAGGAAGGACGTTGTTTGAGATAAATTTGAGGTGATGTCTGAGGTACAGAGTCAATTACAACCAAATTGGGTGGTTTTACCTTGGGTTGAGTACACAGTCTTTCCCCAGACTTGCTCTCCGTCTGTTGATGATTTCCTCCCTTTCTCGGCTGAAATTGGGTATCCTTGAAGTGGGAAAAGTTGTAAACAGCCACACTGGTTGACACACAATCCAGAAGAAAGAACAAAATCCACGAAATGCCTTTTATTAGGACCAACCAGATTGACACAAAACATTTTGCAATCATTGCCCGAAGAATATACTTTCCACCTATCTTTTTTTTTAACATTTGTAACACTCACCCAGTTTTGTGTCAAGTTGGTTGGTCCTAATAAAAAAAAATTACATGGAGTTTGTGTCTATATGTAGCCTTCCTAGCTAGCCTGTCTACTTGTTACCCAGGATGATCTAGAAGATTGATGGGTCGTGGCTCAGTGATAGCGCATCAGCTTGGCATGCAGAAGGTCCCAGGTTCAATCCCTGGGATCTCCAGATAAAAGATCTGGCAGTAGGTGATGGGGAAGACCTCTGCCACCTGAGACCCCAGAGAGCCGCTGCCGGTCTGAGCAGACGATACTGACCTTGATGGATCAAGGGTCTGATTCAGTATAAGGCAGCTTCATGTGTGATGTGGTAAACTTCTTGACAGGAGTCCTAGAGGCTGTGAGTCTATCTTGGACATATGGAGCAGAGGCCCATCAGTGGCTATTAGCCACAAGGTCTAGATAGGAACTCTCGGTCTGGGGCAAGGGATGCTCTGTATTCTTGGTGCTTGGGAGGGGGTGACAGTGGGAGGGCTTCTAGTGTCCTGGCCCCACCGATTGACCTCCTGATGGCACCTGGTATTTTTGGCCACTGTGTGACACAGAGTGTTGGGACTGGATGGGCCATTGGCCTGATCCAACATTGGCTTCTCTTATGTTCTTATGACTCCTCCCTGCATGGAGTAATTGAGCACATAAAGGAGAGAGATACACTAAACGTTTCTCTCTGAGGTACTTAGTTTTTACCTATAAGGAGGAGATGGACCTGACCTTTGTAATCACTCAGCGGCACACAGAAGACCAAGAATTCCACTTTGTTCTGCCTAATGTATCAATGAGCCAGGCCCATAGCTACAGTGGGGCTTTTGTGGGCTCTGCCCCTTTTCTTCAAGGCTCAGCCCCTCAAGAATTTCTCCTGTAAATACTTTTCCCAATCGTTTTTAAACATTTTTTAAAAGGCGTGTGCTCCTTTCAGCAGAGTGGGGTGCTGTAGTTGACTAATTCCTGCACTGAGCAAGAGGGTTGGAGTAGGTGACCTCTAGAATCCCTTCTAACTCTGAGTCAAGAAACTGGTCTCCTTGAAGGGAGTTTTTCTGCCTAAGTGTTAGCTTTCTTGACTATAGAAGTCATCATCCCCACCTGCTGGCTTGTTCTCAGAATTGTTGCTTAGGCTGGCAGGAGTGATTAACTTGCAGCAGCTGAGAACTGTCATCTGAAGTGGTTGATAGCTTGCAATTTAGAGATCTAGCTTGGTCACAGCTTTCCATTGGCTAAATGGCTTTTCTTTCTGCACTGAGAACTTCAGCCACACCAGGGAAAATTTGCCCCACAAGCCACGAAATCCTGGCTACAGGCCTGCAATAAGCTATGACCAGTTGACCGTGTGAGCTGGATCTGTGATATAAGGAAAATACCCTTTCTTTGACAGGTACAGCATCATGAAGGACTGCTGGTGCTGGACTCCGACAGACCGCTTGCCTCCCACAGAGCTGATCTGGCGGATACAAAGAGCGATTGAGACCAGCAACGATCAGGCTGTACTTCAGGTTCCTGAGCTGGTGGTCCCGGAACTGTATGCGAACGTTGCCGGAATTGACTTGAGAGACCTTGCCATTGACTACACAGTGTTCTGAAAGACGCCCTTTCACAGGACAGAAAAAAAGTCGGAAATACAGGGATCTGGAGTCACCAAAATGTAGGCCTCGTAACCGATCCGTGCTTCTTGGCCTGGCCCTTCCTCTTGGAAAGGGAGCGGCGTCTCCTCTTGCTCCGAGACACCATCGCTAGAGAAGGAACTGAAGATGGAGTCGTGCCATTTCATTTTACCAGTAAAAAAAAATAATGAAGGGAAGTGCTACACTAGACTTTAGGAGACAACAATAGGATTGCAACCTGGGAAGGGTGTGGTAGAATCTCACCCTGTACTGCACTCGGGAAGGAAGCAATAAGGCCAATAGGGAGACTCCAAAAAAGTAATTATTACTATATTTAACTTTACTGTTGAAAGAGGCGCTTTATGCTGTGTTTATGCTGGCATGTCCCCAGCCATTTACGGTTGCCAGGTCCCCTGTGGCCACCAGCAGGGGGTTGGGAGGGGTGTTAGGGTCGCCAGATTCAGGTTGGGAAACTCCTGGGGATTTGGGGGTGGAGCCTGAGGAGGGCGGGGCTTGGGGAGGGGAGGGACCTCAGCCCTAGAGTCCACCCTCCACAGCATCCATTTTCTCCCAGGGGAACCGATCTCTGTAGTCTGGAGATGAGCTATAATTCCGGGGGATCCCCAGGCCCCACCTGGAGGCTGGCATCCCTACAGCCATTCCACCAAGCCCACTCTGGAGCCTTTGTCCAGGCTCAGGAGCCTTCTTCCAGCTGAAATGGCTCTTATGTCTGGCGGACGGAAGCTGGAGGACAGTGGGGTGGTAGGACACATGCTGGGTTAATTAAATGACGCGGGACGGAGTCGTTCTCGGCTGACCTGCTTGCGTCTGGCTCTTTTCTGTCGGCGACACATCACACATTCTGAGCAACTGCCTGGAAGCTTTTTTGCCTTTCCAGCATCACAATCTGAGTCTTAACAGCCCTGCCCGCTCCATCATATTCTTCTCTGGGGCATGAGATAATAGAGAAGTGTCCCCCCCCCTCCCCACCTCTTCCACAGTCTTCAGCAAGGGGCTCATTTACTAGAAGACAATCCAGGTGAATAGCTGTGTTGGTCTGAAGCAATAGAATGAAGTCTGAGTCTGGTGGCAGGCCAGCTTTTTCTGCACTATTCCCTTCGGCTCAGGGGTCATTCTAGCCCTGTTCATAAGTTACAGTGAGTGTAGGTACAATTTGTGTATCGTACGTACTTGATTTCTCTTTACCTGTGCACTGAGTAATTTTCATGTGACATTCGATGCATGTAGAGCTGACCATGTGATTTAAGTCCCACCTTTATCCAGGTACTGATTCCCAGTTTTCATTTATAAAGCGAATATGCATTGTCTCTTTCTTATACAGGGGTATGTATACATGTACATGCAGGGCCACTGAGAGAGGGGGACTGGGGGGGGACACAAAGTTTGGGGGCCCAACATCAGCTTGATGGCCCCCAGCTGGGGCTCTCAGACAGCCGACACAGTAGAGTTTAGCTTCCCCTGGAATGTCTCTGCTCTGCCCTTTCTACTGTGATCTCTCCCCCCACCTCTCATTGGCTCAGTTTCCTCTGCCTGCCCCCTTCCTGTGCCTGTGCAGCCAGCCAGCCTCACACTGTGCATGTTGGCAACCCTCAGGGGTCATTTCCTGCAGGAGCGCACAGGAGCGGAGCTCCAGCAGTGAAGAGCCCAGGGGGCGGGCAGATGCAACAAGCCCCACCCCCTGCTCCCAGCAGCCCTCAGGCAGAGCAAGAAGCAGCCAGGCAAGTTGCAGAGCCCCCCCACCCCCCCGGTCCAAACAGTCCAGTGGCACCTTTAAGACCAAGTTTTATTCAGGTACAAGCTCTTCCTCCTCTGCGAGGACAGATCTGCACGTCCCCCCCCCAATAGCTAGCAATCCAGAACAGTCCAGTGGAGCCTGAGTGATAGGTGTGGCCTTCTGACACACTTCCGGTGATGTCAGGGGGTGTGGCATATGCAAATAAGTTATGCTAATGAGATCCTGCACCTCTTTTTCTACGAAATGACCCCTGGGAAGGCGGCACATGGCGCTCCTCCAAGGTACAATGACCTGCATGGCAGCAGCCAGTCCCTCCTCTGTCCTCATCCTCCTTGTGAGATCTGCCTTGCAAGAAGCCCACTGTTGGCTCCATTCCCTGTTCCATTTCCTGAGTGGCACAGAGAAGCTTCTTTGCCGCACAAACAGGCTTGTCATCTGAACAAACTTTGAGTCCAGTGGCACCTTTAAGACCCACAAAGTTTAATGCTGGGAACAGCGCAGAAAAGCTGTTGCATCTTTGCCTTCCCTGAGAAAAATTCCATGGAAAGTGTAACCCAAACCAGGGATAGCACCCAGGCTGAGGTGCTAGCTGCACCAGATGTTTTGGAGCGGGGAGCTGGGTTGGGCACATCCAATTTATCCTTGGACGTCTTACCTGACAGCTGACTTCTCCTCACCCTTGATTGGATGTGCAGCAAAGAGTCTCACTGCAACTTCCTTTCCACAGCAAATCAGGTAACATAAGAACGTAAGAGAAGCCATGTTGGATCAGGCCAATGGCCCATCCTGTCAAATGCTCTGTGTCACACAGTAGCCAAAGCCCATCAGGAGGTCTACTAGCGGGGCCAGAACACCAGAAGCCCTCCCACTGTTGCCCCAGTTCAGCCTTCCCTATATCTTGTGCTTTTCCACGTTTTTTCCCCCATTGGTTCTACCTCATGCTGCTTTGGTCTATCCCCTGATTTCCGCAAGCATTTTTGTGCCTGCAGTTTTTGCATTTGTTTGTTCATTCCCGGGGTTTTTCCTAGTTCTTTGGAGACCACTTTTGCCTCTCGTGTGTAATGTTTCTGTCAAGTTTTCTTTGTCTCACCCAACTCCATCCCACTTTTCGATTATTGGACTGTCATCATCACCAAACCGCTCCCTCTCCTTCACTGCAGTGTGAAGATAATTGGTTTTGGTTTTGATTTTTTAAAAACAAATACAACCTTTATATTGAAATGTTGCTGTAGTATTGTAATTATAGGTTTTGCAAGTTCTCTGAATTCCTGGCTTTCGGGTTGTTGTTTTTTTCAAAGAAGCAAGTCTCTATCCTCTTCCCTTACCGAGATATGCCTTTTTCTTCTTATCTCCATGAGGGAGATACATTGATATAAACATGCACAAAAAATAAAAGCGGGGTGCTGTGATACCACAGCTGACACCACCGATGATGACAGCATCCTCCCTTGGAAATCCTGACTATTTAAGGCACATGCAGAAGAAAATAAACTAACTCCAGAACTGTGAAAATGCAGAGCCCAAATCGATTCCAATGCCTGCGGATCGACTGCCAAGAAAACCAGGAGTGAGTTGAGCGTGCGAAAAGGCCCCTTTTCTCTGAGGTCCAGAGGGGTACCAATATTATCCCACTGCAGCCAAAGCAATCAAGTCTCACGGCCTGGAGGTGCCAAGGGGCTCTCTTTTCTGTGTGTCTAGAAACAGCCCCCCTCCCGTGCAGTCTTTTCCTTGTGTTTCTACAATCCTTAAAATAAACCTTCCAATGTCTTTTGAAAGCATCTTTGTCTTTTGTTATGCTGATACTGGTGGAATCCGTCCTTAGTCCACAGTCCTTCCTTACAACCTGCTCTGCCTTTTCATAGCATTAAAAAAGACTCTTATGCAACCACACCAGTTTTCCGCATTCCTTGTATTCCGTGGGGAAAGGGGGTGCTTTTGATATGCGGATCTGCGATGTGAAAGGCCCTTATTCCGATTCCAGTGGGGCATCCTTGTTAGTCTGTCCGCAACAGAAACAACCAAGGCTTGGGTCCCCCAGGTGCCGTTCCAGCATGGCTTTTCCACCTGCAGAGGAGGGGAGAGGGTTTTTCGACAACTCCACCCTCCACTCCAGAGTCCCAGTTTCCTTCCCATACTGTTCTCCTTTGAGAGCCCAATTTTGGGAGGCACAGAGGCAGGGGCGGTTTTAGCCACAGGACATTTGGGGCAGCTGCCCCGGGCTGGGCAGGGGCCCCCAACCCACCCTTGATGGAAGAGGAGAGGACAGGGAGAGCAGCAGGTTCCCATCACTGTGCACATCTGTCCCTTGGCAACTGGCTCAAGTGCTGCCCTTTGGGCACAGTGTTGGGGCTGCCAGCTCCGGGTTGGGAAATACCTGGAAATTTTGGGGGCGGAGGCCGAGGAGGGTGGGGTCTGAGGAGGGGAGGAGCTTTAGTGAAGTATAACGCCTTCCAGAACAGCCGTTTTCTCCAGAGAAACTGATCTCTGTCACCTGGAGATCAATTGTAAGCCCAGGAAATCTCCAGCCACCACCTGGAGACTGATAACCCTACATGGCACCCATCCCGGACTTCTCCCTGGGGCCAGCTCAGAGGGCAGGATGCAGCAGAAGCAAAGCTTGTGCCTTCCTCCCGCATGGTCCCCCTGCAGCTTGGGTTGCCAATCTCCAGGTGGGGAAACTCGAGCTGCAGTGTGAGAAGAGGCAGACAACAAATATATACACTGCAAAAACCTTTTTTTATAAGTTAAAGTGTTCTATATGTTCCATCTTATAAAGTGCATTGTGTATTATTCATAATATTCTAAAACAGGTATATATTCATTACATGCAATACCAACAATAATAATCAGTTTGTACAAGCTAACAGCTACGGGTCAATTTACATACTTTTTACAAAATCAACCCCAACGGGAGTTTCTAGAATTGTACACCCGCTTCTCCTTGCTTGAAAGTCTTCTAAAGGGGGAAGTTTCCTTTTGTGGTTACATTGTTTGTTTCTGGGTCCTACAAAAGGCCCATTAAGCAGCTGACATATATAGACGGAGCGCAGCCTTGAGAAAGACAGGCACTTTATAAGATGGAACATATAGAACACTTTAACTTATAAAAAAGTTTTTTGCAGTGTATATATTTGTTGTTTGAATCTCCAGGTGGGGCCTGGGGAACTCACAGAATCAGGGCTATTTTTGGGCAGGAACGCACAGGAACAGAGTTCCGGCTGGCTCCTGAGTTGGCCAGGCCCAGCAGGAACTCATTAGCATAATAGGCCACACCCAACAGCAGAAACTCATGAGGATTGGCTACATTAGGGGTGTATGGCCTAACATGCAAAGGAGTTCCTACTACAAAAAAACCCTCTGTGTTTTGACAACAAAGTAAACAGAATAAGAAGCAAAAGGTGGGTGTGGCTGGATGACCACACTTCTGGTAACTTGGGGGCCTAATACGCTAATATGCTGTACTGTCAAGGGTGTGTGGCCTAATATGCTAATGAGTGTCTGCTGTTGGGTGTGGCCTATTATGCTAATGAGTTCCTGCTGGGCTTTTTCTACAAAAAAAGTCCTGCACAGAATTACAACTGATGTCCAGATGCCGCATATCTGCTCCCCTGGAGAAAACGGCCGCTTTGGAGGGTGGACTCTGTGGCATTGGACCCTGATGAGGTCCCTCCCCTCTCCAAACCCCCTCTCCAAACCCCGCCCTGTCCAGGCTCCACCCTCCCCAAATCTCTGGGAGTTTCCCAGCCCACACAGGGCGACCCAGAATCACAGCTGCAGTAAGGGGGAAAGAGAGACGTGCCTTCCCTCTTGCACATCTCTTCCCGTGTTGCTTAGGATTCCCAGCCTCAGAATCTTGTGGCGCCTGAAAGATGAACGTATTTATTGCGGCAGTAGTAGCTTTCCCGGATTCAACGGCATCTGGTGTCTTTGGCCAACACTGGCCCTTTGGCCAAAGTAACAAAACCAGGCACGTGGCAGCGAGTCACGCTGCGGTGTTCACCAACTGGCTGGCTTTCTTCGGCTGTGCCAAATCCAAGCGCGGATTTCAGTGACGACGACACTGCCGTCCTTTAAACTTCTGCCTTTTCCCCCCCTTCGCCGCCACGACAAAGCCTTCCACGTGTACTCGGACAAACCTGGCCTTACCATCTCAGGGAGAACCACCGACCAAACGTGCTCTTCTCTGAGCCGAAGGTATTATTTTGACTCCGGCGAGTCTGCTGCCTCCAGCCGTAATGGGCTCACCTCGAGGAACCTCTGCTTCATCACTGTCAACGGCCAACTCAGGTTGCGAGCTCCCTGCCTCAGAGGCGAAGAGGCTTCCTCATCAGTCTGAGGGGTCCTGTCTCCATTCGGGTGACACCCTGCTAATCATGACAGATGGGGGGGGAACCGCCGGAGCCGGGCACACCGCACGTCTTACCTGCCAGCCTCTTCTCCCAGCTGGTGGGGAAAATCGGGCATTTCATAGCCCTTGGGTTGGAGACCTGCCTTTCTCTGCTGCCATCTGATGGGGAGTTTTTGTAACGACAGGCCTGTTGCCAGTTTGATTTCCCTGCTTGCCCTGAGCTCTGGTGTTGAGACCCAAAAGGCAGCTCCCTCTTTACACAGACAGTGCTCCCCTTTGCTGAGGGGAAGGGGAGGAGAATCAAAGAATCACGGAGTCGGAAGGGGCCCCATACAGGCCATCTAGTCCAACCCCCTGCTCAGTGCAGGATCAGCCTAAAGCATCCCTGACGAGTGTTTGTCCAGCCGCTGCTTGAAGACTGGCAGGGAGGGGGAGCTCACCACCTCCCCAGGCAGCCAGTTCCACTGCTGAACTACTCTTACTGTCAAAATTCTTTCCTAATATCCAGCCAGTACCTTCCCAACCGCAGTTTTGAACCTATTATTGCAAGTCCTATCCTCTGTTGCGGTGGCTCAAGTGGTTAAGACGCTGAACTGCAGGCTGTGGAAGGTCAGTAGTTCAGCCGTTCGATGCCCGGGTGCCGCATGACGGAGTGAGCTCCCGTCTCTAGTTCCAGCTCCTGCCAACCTAGCAGTTCAAAAGCAAGAAATTGCAAGTAGATAAATAGGTACCACTTCAGTGGGAAGGTAACAGCGTTCCGAGGAGCTGCGGTGGCTCAAGTGGTTAAGACGCTGAACTGCAGGCTGTGGAAGGTCAGTAGTTCAGCAGTTCGAGACCCGGGTGCCTCATGATGGAGTGAGCTCCCGTCTCTAGTTCCAGCTCCTGCCAACCTAGCAGTTCGAAAGCAAGAAATTGCAAGTAGATAAATAGGTACCACTTCGGTGGGAAGGGAACAGTGTTCCGTGCGCCTTGGTGTTTAGTCATGCCGGCCACATGACCACGGAAACGTCTTCGGACAACGCCGGCTCTTCGGCTTTGAAACAGAGATGAGCACCACAACCCTAGAGTCGGATTCGACTGGCTTTCGAGCAAGGGAACCTTTACCTTTAACAGCGTTCCGTGCGCCTTGGTGTTTAGTCATGCCGGCCACATGACCACGGAAACGTCTTCGGACAGCGCTGGCCCTTCGGCTTTGAAACGGAGATGAGCACCGCAACCCTAGAGTCGGATTCGACTGGCTTTCGAGCAAGGGAACCTTTACCTTTATCCTCTGCTGCCGACAGAAACAGCTCCCTGTCTTCCTCTAAGTGACCACTTTCCAAATACGTAGTTCTGGAGGCCTCCCTTCAAAAAGGATGTGGACAGAATGGAGTGGGTGCAAAGGAGAGGGACGAGGACGATCAGGGGCCAGTACATGGTTCATCTCCATTGTATACAATTCCCAAACATTATAATGGCAGGCTCCATTCCAAATACATTTTAATTAAAAATAATCTCAATCCATCTGCTGTTTCCCCCGACCTATCTTGAGACAGAGAGAAAAGAGAGGAAGACAGACACATAACAGAGCACCAGTTTCTTGCTCTAGCCTGTCCACTTGTCATAATCCTTGTGCTTTTGAGAGCAATGCGGAGGCTGCGGACATTAGGAGCGCACTTCCAGTCGATATGCATGATTCTGGAATCGCCCTCCTCAGCTTTTGAAAGCCGTTAGCTTAGGTCTCGGCACCGCTCAGATTCTTCTCTTGAACGACTGAGAGAGACCGAGAACGTGTAATGTATTTTGAAGACAGCCGCTGAAGTCCGCAGGGTCGATTTTCCAGGACAAAACGGATACGCAGCCACACACACACATACACCCCTTGAAACTAGCGCAGCCTGCTCTGCAGTTTCTTCCGGCCAGATTTGCGCATAAATGTGGACACCAAACTCTCTTGCGTCAGCTCCTCCGAGGAAAACATGCTGGTCAGCTGGACGGGGTCCGTCTTGTGCTCCACCTCGTAAAAAGGGCAGGTCTTCAAGTGCACGGCCATGGAAGGGATGTCACTGAACTGCCAGTTCTTAATGGTAGAGAACAGGCTGCTAAACTTCCAGACCTGTTGTGGGGAGCGAGAGGGATTTAGAAGCAAGAAACAAAGGCGGGGGAAATGTCCACGTTTATTCACGGAATCCCAGGCTGAGGCTTTGCAAACGACTTCCGACTTGTTCTCCCCTGCCCCCGTTTCCTTTGAACAGATTAAGAGGGATTGATTGCTTTCGATGCAATTTTTATAGATTTTGAAATCCACCCAGAGGACCCTATTCCGTAAAAGGGTAAAGAAGAAAAATGCAAATAGTAAAAAGAGAGAACTCAAGCATCTAAACCACAGGGGATCCGCGGAAATTCCCCCTTTGCACATTTACCTTTTATTTTTATTAGTTGCGCTTCGCGGCGCTTTATAGTGTAACAAACCTAAAGTTCGGTTCCTGCTCCAAGGAATTGATAAGCTAAAATTTGATGCAGGGAGAATAATGAAAGGAGAAGAGGAAAGTGGAGGCGGGTAAACTAGGGAGGCAAACCTCCAGGAGGGGCCTGGGGATCCCCCGGAATTACAGCTCCTCTCCAGTCTACAGAGATCAGTTCCTCTGAAGAACATGGATGCTTTGGAGGGTGGACTCTATGGTATTGTACCTCACTGAGGTCCCTGTCCCCCGAATCTCCAGGAGCTTCCCGACCTGTAACGGGCAACCCTACCCCCACTGGTGACCAAGGGAAACCTGGCAACCCTAATACAAACAGGGTAGGGTTGCCAGGTGTGGGTTGGAAAATACCTGGAGACTTTGGGGGTGGATCCGGGAGAGGGCGGGGTATGGGGAGGGGAGGGGCCTCAGCATGGTAGAATGCCATGGAGTCCACCCTTCCAAGCAGCCATTTTCTCCAGGGGAGCTGATTTCTGTCAGCTGGGGATCAGTTGTAAAAGCGGGAGATCTCCAGGCCCCACCTGGAGGCTGGCAGCCCTAAAACAGGAAAAGGCTGCAAGTTCAGTTCTGTTGGTAGCTTCAGAAGAAGAAGAGACTGGATTTATACCCCGCCCTTCACTACCCAAAGGAGTCTCAGAGCGGCTTACAAACTCCTTTCCCTTCCCCTCCCCAAAACAGACACCCTGTGAGGTAGAAGAAAAAGAAGAGTCTGGATTTATACCCCACCCTTCGCTACCCAAAGGAGTCTCAGGGCAGCTTACAAACTCCTTTCCCTCCCCCTCCCCACAACAGACACCCTGTGAGGTGGGTAGGGCTGAGAGAGCTCTTGACAGAAACTGCTCTTTTTCGGGAACAGCTCTGACAGAACTGTGGCTTGCCCAAGGTCATCCAGCAGGTGCAAGTGGAGGAATGGGGAATCAAACCCGGCTCTCCCAGATTAAGAGTCCGCGCACTTAACGACTACTCCAAAGTGGTGTATTACACTACACCCCCTTCATAAGTGAAGGGGTGGGGGGGTCAAACGAAAGAAACATGACAAGCAGAATCATCTGTGTTACATATTGTGTTATTGGGATAGCCTGGATTATAGAATGAGCCTGAGCTTCAGTCACAAGCTCCATAGACTCTCAGTATCTGAAAATCAACAGCCTGATTAGCTGCCATTGTGCAATGGACCAATCAGGGAAGACTATGACTTTCGGCGCGAACAAACCCTATTGGTCCTAAGCACTCATTTATGATTGGACCTTATTTCTCGCCCCTTCAGATCGTGCTCAATAGCACCTTCAACAAGCAATTTTCAGTCCCGTTCCCACCCCCCAACCGATGTCTTTGTTTACAAGGAGGGTTGCCAACTCCGGGTTGGGAACTTCATGGTGATTCTTGGGCAGAGCCTGGAGAAGGTGGGGTCTGGGGAAGGGAGAGACCTCAACAAGGTATAATACCATAGAGGCCACCTCTGCAGGGAATTTGCCTGAGGCAGCATACAAGAACAAACGTAGAACACTGGGAGCTCTTACTTAAAATCTAAGCATTAAAAAACCAGCCAGAGCACAAAAGCACGGAGCAGGTTAAAACGAATTAAACGATTTTTGGACTAAAGGCACATTATAAAACTGGTGATAAAAGATCGACTCCTCAATTAAACGCCTGGAAAAACAGAAACGTTTTGTCCTGGCGCCGAAAGAGGATGGGGTAGGTGCCAGGTGAGCATCACGGGGAAAGGCATTCCAGAGGCAAGGTGTAGGGTTGCCTGGTTCCCCCTGGCCACTGGTGGGCAGCACAGGGTTGCCAGATCCAGGCTGGGAAACTCCCCAAGTTTTGGGAGTGGAGCCAGGGGAGGACGGGGACCTCAGTGGGGTACAATGCCATACAGCCATACAGCCCCCCCCCTCCAAAGCATCCACTTTCTCCAGGAAAACTGACCTCTGTAGTCTGGAGATGAACTGTAATTTCGGGAGATACCCAGGTCCCACCTGGAGGCTGGCATCCCTACATGATGTTGGACAATCTATTTTTTTTTCTGACTTGAGCCTTGGAATTTGTTAACGGTTGGCTGTGGTTTTGAACTTGCTATATAGCAAAGTTGATCTTCTTACTGTGAGCCAGTTTGGTGTCGTGGTTTGATTCCCCACATGCAGCTGCTGGTGTGACCTGGGGTCACTCACAAGCTCTCTCATAGCTTTTCTTGCACTAGCAGTTCACGAAAGAGCTCTCTCAGCCCCACCTGCCTCACAGGGTGTCTGTTGTGTGGAGGGGAAGGGAAAGGAGATTGTAAGCCGCTCTGAGATTCCTTTGGGTAGTGAAGGGCGGGGTATAAATCCAATCTCCTCCTCCTCTTCTTCTCCTTCTCTGTGTGATCATTTTTATATTGTGGCTAGGGTTGGCAACCTCCAGGTGGCACCTGGAGAGCTCAATTAATTTCAACCGATCTCTAGACCTATGTCCCCTCTAAGCTGTGGAGTTTTGTGAGTAAAAATTCGACTCTGTGAGCTACTGGCATTAAAGTTGTGAGCGAGTGATTTGGCTGCTGCGTAAATTAGTTTGCAATGGAGCCATATCCTTCCTGAACGAAGACAAAAATCTGCGAACCGGAGGCTAAAAAACTATGAGCTAGCTCACACTAACTCAGCTTAGAGGGAACACTGTTCTAGACCAAGGTTAGTCCCCCGGTAGAAAATGGTGGCTTTGGAGGATGGACTCAATGGCATTAGACCCCACTGCAATCTCCCTTGCCCAAGCCTCAGCCTCTACCCCCAAAGGCCCAGGACTTTCTCGACCCTAATTTGTGGCACTTGTTTTTCAATGTTATTGTTAGCTGTCCTTGGCCTGTTGGAAAGGCTGGTGTCCACAAAAGCTTATGTCAGAATAAAAGCTTTTAAGATGCCACAAGGCTCCTGTTTATTTTTACAATAAGGTTTATCGCTTTTATGTACTGTTCCTTAGCAACAGCAAAGCCTGTGTAGCTGCAAACATTTCGGAGCTCCTGCCGCCGTGGCAGTCACCCAACACACGTCTCCACCTCTCATCTCAAAAAGCAACAGTATGCATAATCTGCATATTCAGAAACCTTCACCAACAGAGGGTCATTTGCAACGCTCCTTTCCTGATGTTGCCTGGAGGTCCCAGATCCAGGACGGAAATTCCTGGAGACTCGGGGTTGGAGCATGGTAGGCTTGCCGGACCCCGTCAGGGGTGGGGGGAAACCCCGCTTTTGCAGGGCGCTTCCCCACCACCAGCCAGCTGGCTGGCAGGGGAGATCCTGCCCCCAACTGTCCCGAAAGGTGACATGATGATGCCATCCGGAAGTGATGTCATCACACTGCCGACGTCGAACGGCGATGTTCTAGTTTTTGGACAAAACTCTATGGTAAAATTGGCTGCAATCCGTAGAGTTTTGCCCCAAAACTAGAGCATCACACCCCTGATCTCGGCAACATGATGACATCACTTCCAGGTGATGACATCACTTCCAAGTGATGACATCACTTCCAGGTGATGTCATCGCACCAAGAGCCCGGAAAGGACCAAGGATCCCCCCATCTGGCTCCCATGGGAAGAGTAGGAACCTCAGTAAGATATAATGCTACAGAGTCCACCCTTCAAAGCAGCCATTTTCTCCTGAGGAACCAGTCTCTGTAGTCTGCAATCTGAAGGTCAGTTGTAATTCTGGGAGTTTGCCAGGCCCCACCTGGAGGTTGGCAACCCTATGCTGCCCAGCCCATTGACTGAGGAATGAATTCAAGTGCAAGTGCAGATAGTCTAACCATTTTTCAGTGTATGATGGGGGGGGGGAGCTGCACAGAACTGCCACGCCACAGCGCAAAACATTCTCACCGGTCTCACGGTAGGGTTGCCATGTGCCAGGCGAGGGCAGGGGAACTCCCACCGCCCCCGGTTGCCAGCCCTTGCTCCGGCAAATGGCGGAGGAAAATGTGGGGATGGGAAGGCCGTCCCATGACGTCACGGCACCATTTATGGTCGCCTGACCAAACGTGATGTCACTGCGTAGCCGGGTGCTCTAGCATTCCGTCAAAACTCTATGGTTTTACCACAGAGTTTCAGGTGAATGCTAGAGCACCCAGCAACGCAGTGGCATCACTTCAGGTTACACAGCTGTGAACGGCATCATGACACTGTGGGACGTTGTTACGGTGACTCTCCCTCTCCCTCCCGGCCCCCTGGGCTTGCCAGCTGAAGGGGTCGTGGGCAGTTGCGCACAAAGCCCAACTTTACCTACCGTAATGGTTTTATAGTAGCCAGGCTCCAGGGCCCTCCAGTCACCATAACGGCAGCTGCTTCCTGTCAGATTTTGTCACTACATGCTACTAAGCACGCAGACATACAATAGAACGTGCTTCACAGAAGCAGCTGACGGGAAGGTGACAGCGCACTGCCACATGGAACACCAACGGCCAGCAGCAGAGTGAGAGACCGGGGACATCCTCCTCTTGCCATCCCTGCTGCTCCCATTCAATAACACAATTTCCAGTAGCAGAGAGGGAGGGAGGCAGGGAGGGAGGCCTCCATTTTCTAATTTTGTTAGCCACCTTGAACATGCTCATGGAAGGCGAGGCGTAATTTAATAAATGCCCTGACCTGGATGACACAGGCTGGCCCGATCTTGTCCGATCTCGGAAGCTAAGCAGGGTCAGCCCTGGTTATTTCTTGGATGGGAGACCGCCAAGGAAGGCCAGGGCCACCCTGCAGAGGCAGGCAAGGGCAAACCACCTCGGGTTGTCTCTGCCCTGACCTGGGTGGCCCAGGCTCCCCCGACCTCGTCAGAGCCGAGAAGTTAAGCAGGGTCAGGCCCTGGTTCGCATTTGGATGGGAGACCACCAAGGAGGCCCAGAGTCGCAACGCAGAGGCAGGCAATGGCAAAGCAACTCTGAACGTCTCTGGCCTTGAGAAAGGGCCCGCAGGGCTCTTTTTGTAGCAGGTAGTCCTTTGCATATTAGGCCACACACCCTAATTTTGCCAATCCTCCAAGAGCTTACAGTAGCCCCTGTAAGAAGAGCTCTGTAAGCTCTTGGAGGATTGGCTACATTAGGGGTGTGTGGCCTAATATGCAAAGGGGTCATCAGACGTTGGCTGCGACTCGGCGGACCTTTCCGTCACCAACTTAACAGACCATCGATATGTGTAACATTTTAACGTCCGGGTTCGTGCATCATGCCACACTGTACCCCCGTCACTTGCCTTTCTGCGGACTCTCCACGAAGTGCCCCCGTGGGAATATCTCTTCTTTTCCCACAGCAGGAAGACCATCCCTCTCTCTTGCAGCAGAGTGGCGCAGATGTCCCTCATGAGCACCGACACCTGGGCCAGCTGAGCCAAGCTGAAGCTATCCAAAAACCCGGCGATGTACTGCAGGATCTCCAGGGGGAGGTTGCTCAGAGCATCCGTTTCCTTCCCTCGGTTGTTCCTCAGTGCATTGCACCGCCTCGTTTCCGAGAGGGCAGGATGAACCTGGGGCTCCACAGCAAATGCCTTGAGAGGCTGGCTGTAGACAACACGGGACTTCTGCCCAGCAGGGCACCAGGGGTACTGAACAAACGGACACCCCAGGTAAGCCAGCGGGCAGCGGCGCTGGAACCACCCGTCCAGGCAGGACTGGATGTCGGCGTGAACATTCTTGAAATGGGACGGAAACTCGTCCCGCCGGAAGAAGCGGTTGCAGGAGAAGGAGAAAGCCGAGCTGCTCTTGTTGTGCCTCCGGGTCACGCTCTCGCTGTTAAGATGCATCTGCAGGCTTGGCAGGTCTTCGGCGTCCAGGAGGTCCGCTAGGACCACCGTGGAGGAGAAAGGTTCCTCGGCAAAGCTGTACGTCTGCGTCCCGAAATCCACAAACAGGGCGTCGGTGTTCTTCGTCTCAGAGATCTCGTGACCTTTCAGCTCTTTCTCCAGGGCACACAGCAGTGTCGTTTGGATAATGTCAGACTTTGGGAGATCCTCCGGGCTGATACCCATGTCTGAAGTATCCACAGATACCGTCTTGGTTGGCTTTTTGTGTGCGATGGCATCCCCGAGGCGAGCCCTTTTGCCACAGTAACTGATTGGGACTCGGAAGGTGGTCACGGTTTTCACCTCCTGAGCTTCCAGGTTGCCGTAGACAAAGTCCTTCTCTTTGGGAGTGCAAGCGGCCATCTGGCCGAAATGGATGAGCATCCTCCCATGGTGGACCAGATACATATTATAGTCCCCTACCGAAACCTCCTTCTTGAGTCGCTCCAGGACCCCGTCCTGCCAAGGGGCAAAGCCAGTCCTTTCTGCGGCTAAGTTCACCGGAGGAGAGAGTTGGGTTCCAACGCTGTTGCCGCCACCACCAGCTGCTTCCGGTTTCTCATGGGACACCTGGCCCATGTTTGTGGAGCTACCATCTTGTTCTTTTGCCTGGCCATCTGCCAACGAGGCCGTCACTTTGCACGCTTTCAGCTCTTTACTAAACATGTTTTCCCAGGCTGTGTAACTGGCCAGATCCATCCCTTCTTTGTCCTTGGCCAAACTCTCACGCTCTTGCTGGCTCAGCTGAGGAACGTCATTGGCGTCAGCCTGACCTGCTCCTTGGCCAGTAGCTCCTTCCCCCGGGTATCCCTCGCCACCCGCGGCTTCTCCCTCATCCACGGCACAAGGGTCTCTGCACTCTGGGAACAGTTCGGCCATTTTCAGGGCACCAAAGAGAACCTTCTGATCTCTCAGAGCCAGGGCTACATCCAAGCATTCGGGGCCAGGCTTCTCCTTCATGATGTTCTCATGCAGAACGTCAGTGGAGCCCTCGGTCGGCCAACGATTCCACTCCATGGAGCAGCAGACGATGCTAGCGGGGCAGGCCTGGAGATGTTTGGCCACTTTGAAACGGGCCATGGTGAAAGGGCAGCCGTAGAATGAGTTCAGGCAGGGGACCTGCTCAAGGGGGCACAGGAGCCGGTGCTCCTCCTCTTTGCACATGTGGAAGGCCGCGCCGCAGTGGACGCGACAGCTGATCACCACGCAAGAGACGGCTGGCACCACCGGCACTTGGCAGTGCCGGTTGAAGCATTTCTCGCAGTGCTTGTGTTCTCCGGGGGGCAGCCTCTGCTTCCGTCCCTGTCAAAGAGGAGACAAAAACAAGAGCAAACCTTCAAAGTGCTGGCAAAAGCCAGGCTGCAGCCCTCATTTGGATGGATTTTACAAGAAGCCCCCTGAACTTTAAGGCATCTAGAGACAGTTTCCTCCAGCAGCTCGGTGTGTGTGGTCACTAAGTTTTGAAAACATTAATGAAATGTATGTGGCAATCAAGGTTATGGGACTCGGAGCGGCTCAATCCAATTAATAATTCAAGGGGCAATTAACCCCCCCAAAAAAGAAAATCCACATAAAAGCAACAATTCAAGTACGAGAAAGGAAAATCCCACTGCAATAAGGTACATCAAAGCCATGGAACGCTTGAGGCCAGAGGAACAGACGAGACTGCCTTCTCGTGAGTCAGACCCGCTGCCGTCCGAGCTCAGTGTTATCTGCTCCAGGGGTCCCCAACCACAAAACAGCTGCCGCAGCTTAACTCCAGTCACACTGCAAAGATTCTTGTGTTGTGGTGGCAGCTGCTGCCAGAGCAACACTTTAAGAAATCTGCACAGCCCATCAGATTTCCAGTAGAGAGCCAGAGTGGTTTAATGGTTAAGAGTGGCAGACTCGAATCTGGGAGAACCGGGTTTGATTCCCCACTTCTCCACATGCAGCTGCTGGGTGACCTTGGGCCAGTCACAAGTTCTCTCAGATCTGTTCTCTCAACAGTTCTCTCAGAGCTCTCTCAGCCCCGCCTACCTCACAGGGGTTGTCTGTTGTGGGGAGGGGAGGGGAAGGTGATTGTAAGCTGTTTTGAGACTCCTCAGGGTAGAGGAAAGTGGGGTATAAAAACCTACTTTTCTTCTTCTTCAATAGTCAATAGAAGGCCCTGCCTTGTCCCACCCACTTCCTAAAAATACTTGGCTGGCACCAGAAAAGTGCCACTGGAGACTTACCCTGGCGGTATGTGGTCCCAATCACAAATATAGACAAAACTCCGTGCACAGTGCTTGACACCCTCATTTATAAATGCATAGAATTTTGAATTTTTACACATACTGAAGATTGTGCACAGTGGGGTTTTTTTGCATTTGTGACCAGAAAAGTGCCAGAAGGCACCACATTGGGGACCCACGATCTACTTGGACTGGCAGCTACTTTCCGGGATCTCAGGTGAGGAGGTCTTTCACACGGCCTGCCACCTTTTAACAGGAGATGCCAGGGATTGAACCTGGGACAAGTGTTCCCTCTAAGCTGAGTTAGTGTGAGCTAGCTCACAGGTTTTTAGCCTCCGGCTCACGCATTTTTGTCCTCACTCAGGAAGGAGGGCTCCAGAGCAGGGGGTGGCCAAACTCGCTTAACATAAGAGCCACGCAGAATAAACGTCAGATGTTTGAGAGCCGCAAGACACGAACACATATCACATGTTTTTACTGGGAAATATGCAAATCTGCCTTTTATTAACATTAAATGAGACTGCCAAAAATAATAACGAAAGCGGTAAGAGCCGGTATTGATAATGATATCTATTTGTCCAATGATATTTTTTCGCTAATGATATTTAGCTCCCCCAGCCGCCCTGCTGGGAGCGGCACAATATGCGTGAAAGAGCCTCATGCGGCTCCCCAGCCATACTGTTTGGCCACCCCTGCTCCAGAGCAAACTAATTTTCGCAGCAGCCAAATCGCTCACTCACAAATTTAATGCCAGTGGCTCACAAAGTAGAATTTTTGCTCACAAGACTCCACAGCTTAGAGGGAGCCATTGGAGGTGGGACCTAATAAAGTTACTGCATCCTCTCCTTCATTCACACAGGCATTCTACACCACACAGCACACAAGGATTCCCAGTTCTCCCTTTTTCATCCCCCACGCAAACAAAGCATTCACATTCGAATGGCCTGCCCAAAGAAGTCAGGAGAGTCCCCGCTCTCCTGGCCTTCCTCAAACTATGCAAAACCAAACTGTTCAAAAGGGCTTTTCTGTGCAAGTAATAGGACTGCACTGCATAAAACGGTTCCCAAACTTACTTGGATGAACGATTAGGGACTGTAGTCTATATACTGCTGTGTATGGCCTACGGTAAATAGCACTGTGATGATTTCATGTTTTGGAGTGTGTGTTTCTTTAAATGTTTAGTGTGACTTCAGTAATGTAAGGAGTGATAGAGGGAGACAAGTGTGATGTGACTGGTTGATGACTGAGAGTGTGGGAGGAGAGATGTCTCTGAGGGGATTCTGTGTTCTTGAAGAGAGGAGTGTGGAGATTTTGTGAGAGAGTCTGTATGATAGAGGAAGCAGTTGGTGTTCAGCCTGCGTGGCTATATGAGAGAGATTAGCCTGTGTGGCTAAGAAAGGCAGAGTTTAGCCTGTGTGGCTATATATGAGAGAGAGATAAGCCTGTCAGAGTTGAGTCTTGGTGTCTGAGAGACTGTGTGTGACACCAAGCTTTGTCAGTTATATTTTCTTTCTTCAACAACAGTTCAAAAATACCCAGAAACCTATTTTGTTCTTTAATAAATAAATCATTATTTTTAAAACTCATCCCAGCATTCAGAACAGTCCTTCCTCAGGGCCACATAGTCCTCTGAAGCGTCCAGACACTGGGTCATTCTACCAAAATAGAGAGATTTGGAATATTTAATTCCTGGGGGCAGCAGAAATCTACTAAATTCATGTACACAGTTGTGTTTAAAAGGAGAAACAGTCTCCCCAATAAGCAGGACGCCACAAGCATCCAATGACATAATTTATGTACCGCTTAATGTGTCGTGTGAATACTTATGCTAGGCTTCAGTTCTTTCTAGTAGTTCCAGATGTCTAAAATCCTAATCCTTGGTTACTGAATGTCCTATTTTGTTGATGGAGCGGACTCACTCTGTGTAATTGGCCTGGAGTCCTGGTGAGACAGGTGGACTATATATAAATAAATAAATAACATATTATCCCCCCACACACACACCTCCCTCTCTGCTTCTGCACATTTAAGCATCCCAGACTCCTTGCCACTGGACTCTAAATTTATTCTACTGCTTCAGACCAACACGGCTGACTACCTGGATCTTCCTTACCTCCGTTCTTGGTCTCTTTCCCCCCTCTCTTTCTCTCTCCCATTACCCACCAACCCAAGCTAGTCTGTTAACTCACACTAGTTCGGCAGCTTTTAAATGGAACTAGCAACCAGGGAGGAGGAAGTTTGAGACTGTGGGGACAGAGTCCGTTGGCAAGGAAGACTTGTTAGCGTTTTCTTTCCTCACCCCTGTGCCATGGACCCTGGCTGAAGCTGCCTCATTTTCTAAACTGTTATTAGCCCTGGGAAAGACTCCTGGACTTAATAGAAGAATGTTTGTGTTGGTTTTTAACTAGTGGAATTAATAGCAGGTGGTGCTGCTGAGAATTTCACCCTCCGAACCAGGGCTCCGATCCAAATAGTCGTTCCCTGTGCTATTTGCGTTTCTAAACTGTTTATGCATCTCCAAGTATTTCTATTTTTAGTTAAAAGCAACCATGGGGGAAGATCAGAGAAGGGCAGCAGAGGCTGGAGTAGCGGGGTTCTGATTCCTAAACTTTCCCCCGTCTAAATGACCTCTATTTACATCCTCCTTGAGGAAATTAAAACAGAGAATCTGGCATTCCCCACATGTCCATAGATCAGCTTCACAGTATCCTTAAGTCAGGGCAAGCTGCAGGCCAGTGCAAAGGGCAGGATGCAGCAGAGGCAAAGCATCTACTTTCCTCCTGCACGGTCCCACCCACCCACAGGTCTGCATGGGCCCACCCACAGGCTATGGGGTTGCCAGCCTCCAGGAGGGGCCTGGAGATTTCCTGGAATTACTACTGATCTCCCGACGATTAGCCCAATAGAGATCAGTTCCCTTGAGGAAACGGCTGCATTGGAGGGTGGACTCTATGGCATTATACCCTGTTGAGGTCCCGCCACAAACCCTGCCTTCTCCAGGCTCCAACCCCAAATCTGCAGGGATTTCCCAACCCGCCCTACACAGCCATCGTTGTGACGTGCAGCTGCACGCGTGTGTGTGTATCATAACATATATGGCGGCCGATGCACATCAGCAGTGCCTCACCCAGACTTCCAGACTCCGGGGCGACAACCGAGATCCCAAGAATTTTATCTGCTGTGAAAAAGCCAGAACCTTACACATGTATGCAGATTTTTTTCCAATATTCAATAACAAATATATGTATATTTTATGTTTACCTACCTATCATAATTACATCAATTATATGTTGCTACTGGCTTCTGTACAAAAGAAAAGTTCCAGCTCTACTCAAATACATTCTGGGAACCAGCCTGAATTTCTCGTTTTTATACTGGTGTGTGTGTGTGGGGGAACCCTGGCCAAAATGGTGCAGGAAAGCCATTCCATAGACGGGGTCCCCAACCTTTTTTGAGCCTACGGGCACTTTTGGAATTCTGACAGAGGGTGGTGGGCAATGTTCCCTCTAAGCTGTGGAGTCTTGTGAGCAAAAATTGTGCTTTGTGAGCGACTGGCATTAAAGCTGTGAGTGAGCGATTTGGCTGCTGCATCAATTAGCTTGCTCTGGAGCCCTCCCTTCCTGAGCTCAGAAAAAAATCTGTGAGCTGGGGATTAAAAAAACATGAGCTAGCTCACACTAACTCAGCTTAGAGGGAACACTGGTGGTGGGTGCAGCCACAAAATGGCTGCTGCAAGAGGTGGAGACAATCACAAAGAGGAAGCCCAAGTGCAGGGGAGAAGAGGGGTGGTTAAAAAAAACACACACCGGGAAAGAGGAGTGAAAGAGAATAAAAACAAACCCTGTGGCGTAGGGTTGCCAGATCCTACCTGTCTGCCGGGGGGGATGGGGGATCGATCAGCCTTCCTTGGAGTTTCATGCACACAGCGCAATGACATCACCCGGATGTGACATCATCGCACCACCAATGTCATGTGGTGATGCTCTAGTTCTGGGGCAAAACTCTACGGTTTTGAGCCCAATTTTGGCACAGAGTTTTGCCCAAAAATTAGAGTGTCACTGCACGATGTCAGCGTTGCAATGACGTCACTTCCGGTGATGTCATCACGCTGCATTTCTGGGCATTTGCAGGTGGGGTTTTCCCACCCCCGGCCAGCTGGCTGGCAGTATAGAGGAACCCACAAAAGTGGGGGGAACCCCCACCCAGACCAGGGGGCTGGTAACCCTACTGTGGTGGTACCTGCTGCTGCAACAGTGTTATTTCAATTGGTACAGCCAATCTCCAAAGGCCAAGCAGAAGCCCTGCTGGGCAAGAGCCCCACCTGCTTTCTAAAAACACTTGGCGGGTGCTGGGAAAGGTTTCTGCAGGCACTATGGTGCCCACGGGCACCATGTTGGGGGGCCCTGTTATAGACGTTGACCCAGTTCTCACGACCACTCTGCTCTTGGTAAAGAGTGAAGATTTCCTCTGGTGTAAAGGGGCTCCCTCCACAGCATACGTTCTTCCACGTCTCCACCATTGGAGGAAGGCTTCCAACTTGGATAAGAACAAGTGGCAGGACACAAAGCAGTCCACTTACATCTGGGCTACAGAGTTGCCAACTCCAGGTTGGGAAATTCCTGGGGATTTGGGAGTGGAGCCTGGGGAAGGCAGCATTTGGGGAGGAAAGGGGCCTCAGTGGAGCATAATGCCATAGAGTCCACCCTCTGAAGCAACCATTTTCTCTATAGGAACTGATCTACACAGCCTGAAGATCAGTTATAATTTAGGGAGCATTCCTGGGGATTTGGGAGTGGAGCCTGGGGAAGGCAGCATTTGGGGAGGAAAGGGGCCTCAGTGGAGCATAATGCCATAGCATCCTCCATCCAAAGCAACCATTTTCTGCAGGGGAAATACCTTTAGTCTGGAGATCAGTTGTAATTCCGGGTGATCTCCAGGTTGGCTACCCAATCTTGAACAAAAATTTCAGTAAACTGACAGTTGCACTCCTTGTGCATGGTACTTGGGCTAAGGAATAAATAATACTTTCTAGCAGGGGCCAATATAGGCACAGGGTCAAGGCCTGAATCATATTTTATATAGAAACATGGAGTGATGGAGCCAAATTGCTCGCTCACAACTTTAATGCCAGTCACTCATAAAGCAGAATTCTTGCTCACGAGACTCCACATCTTAGAGGGAACATTGCTCCAGGTAGGATGTACGAATTGTGTTAAACTGAAGAGACTACTTAACTGCTTGCATCTTAGACAGGGTCACCAACTCCAGCCTGGGAAATTTCTGGAAATTTGGGGGTGGTGTCAAGGGAGGGCAGGGAGGTCAGTGAGGATATGATGCCGTAGAACCTGCTCTTCTAAGCCACGCTCTCCTCAAGGGGAACTGATCTCTGAAGTCTAGAGATCAGTTATAAAACCTGGGAGAACTTCAGGCTCCGCCTGGAAGAGGGTAACCCTAAATTCTTACAACAAATCTAACTCGTCTCTTTCTAAAGGTCCTTACCATCGTTCCTGGTGGTTGTGTCTGATGACCCTGGAAGAAAAATTAAAATATCTATTAAAATAAAAGGACCATAAGGCATTTCAGAAACGTTATAAACACATCTGTGACAGATGGTATCTTATTTGTGTATGTGTTGTGTGTCTGTGTGTACATGTGTAATATCAGCACGGTCTTGCAATTCAGCCATCCTGTGGAAGGTATTTTGTACCAACTGTGTAAGCCGCCCTGAGCCTGCTCGTGGGGAGGGCGGGGTACAAATAGAAAGAGAGAAAGAGAGAAGGAAAGAGAGAGAGAGAGAAAGAGAGAAGGAAAGAAAGAAAGAGAGAGAGAGAGAGAGAGAGAGAGAGAGAGAGAAAGAAAGAAAGAAAGAAAGAAAGAAAGAAAGAAAGAAAGAAAGAAAGAAAGAAAGAAAGAAAGAAAGAAAGAAAGACAATGCAGACTGACTGTGCCCACGCAATCAGAATGTAGGGTTGCCAGGTCTGGGTTGGAAAATACCTGGAGACTTTGAGGGGTGGATCCAGGAGAAGGCGGGGTTTGGGGAGGGGAGGGGCCTCAGCATGGTACAATGCCACACACTCCACCCTTCAGAGCAGCCATTTTTCTCCAGGGGAGCTGATCTCTGCCAGCTGGAGCTCAGTTGTAAAAGCGGGAGATCCCCAGGCCCCACCTGGAGGCTGGCAACCCTATCAGAATGGGATGAGGCAACCGACATGCCTTTGCCATGTGGAAAAGAGAACGTATTCTAGCAAGTGGGGCCATGTGGTAGCTAAAAGTATGAGCTGAGTCTCTGGTTCAAACCTCCCCTCGTCCATGAATCCATGAGGTGGACTTAGACAGTCCATTCTCTTTCAGTTATAGGATGAAACTACATATTATGGCAAGGAGCATGAATATCACCCATCCATGCCTCTCCGCCCAGTAATCATTGTGGGGGGAAAGTAACACCATCCCATTACTATTTCCTTACACCAGGGGCCCTCAGCCTTTTTGAGACTGCAAGTACTTTACTAATTCTGACACAATGTTGTGGCCACAGTTACAAAATGGCTGCCAATAATGGCTACACCAGGAGGCAGAGCCAGCCACAAAATGGCTGCCGCAGCTTTCTCTCAGCCACACAGTGAAGATCCTTTTGCTGTGGTGGCAGCGGTTGCCAAAGCAACGCTTTAAAAATTCTACACAGCCAATCAAATCTCCAGTGACCAAATCAGAAGCCTTGCTGGGCAGAAGCTACATTGGGCCCCATCTATTTCCTAAAAACACTTGGTGGGTGCCAAGAAAGGTCTCAGGAGGCCCCATGGAGCCTATGGACATCTCAGTGGGGACCTCTGCCTTAGGGTTGCCAGGTCCGACTAGGGTTGCCAAGTCGCGGCGGGGGATCGTGTGTCTTTGCAGAATCCGTGCCGTGGGGACGGCAAGACACGTTGCACCCGCTGTCGCCAGGAAATGACGCTACACGTTGCTCTGGCAACAGGGCTCCAAACAGCCCCGCCAGAGCGATGCGTAGCATCATGTCCTGGCGGCGGCGGTGCAACGCATCTCGCCATCCGCACGGCACGGATTCTGCAAAGACCTGCGGATCCCCCGCCGTGATTTGGCGAGATTTGGGAGCCCTAGGTCCAACTCAGGAAATATCTGGGGACTTGGGGGGTGGAGCCAGCAGTCTTTGGGGGTAGAGCCAGGAGTAAGGATGTGACATCCCGATTGAACCTCCAAAGAGAGTTCTGGCCCTCATATTTAAAGGGACCGCATTCCTTTTAAATGCCTTCCCTCTATTGGAAATAACGGAGGATGGGGCACCTTCTTTTGGGATAGAACTAGACTCCCTGGTGCAATCTTTTTGAAACTTGGGGTTGTTTTTGAGGAGAAGCGCCATATGCTATGCTGAAGATTTGGTGCCTCTACCTCAAAAAACAGGGCCCCCCCAGAGCCCCAGATACCCACAGATTGATTCTCCATTATACCTTATGGTTAGCAGAGTACTCAAGGCACATAGCACAGCAGAGCTCATCTGGAGTGTGTGTGCGATCCAGAAAGTTACACGCGGAGCCTCTTTATCTTTGCGAAACTAATGAGAGTCCTTTATTGTAAGGAACTCCATTCTAGACAGAATAGAGATTGATTTCTAATCTAGTCTAAGATGGATGGAGATACAGGAGGCATGTCTTGCCTTCATGCGGTCAACATGGAGCAGACTAGCATGGTGTGGAGAGGAGATGTTAGGCTGGAAGGAAGGAAGTTTCCCTAAGAGTAGCAATCTACATGCCAAAGGGATAGCATCAGAGAGTAAAGGAAGGATAGTCAGTGTCCTGGTCTCTCTACCATTCTCTCATAAACCCCCTCTGAAGTCTGAGGCTAAGAGACAGTGTAAAGTCCTTCACTTCCAACAACCGGGGAGAAGTTTAAGGTCAGGGTGCAAAAACGCAGTCTTGTAATGTGTCATTTTGACCTTGGCCGCCTATGATCTATACAAAGGTGATATTTCTATCCTACCTTACAAAACTGTTGGAAGGATTACAGAATACTCCAGAGCGCTACACAAGCATTCAGTTATCTGTAATACGATTAATGATGGGGGTCACGGGTAATCCAAAATGTACTACACCTCGGCAACACTTTCAAGGTTCGTAAGTGTGAAGCAATTCCTTGTAGCCGCTCACTGTTCCATCATCTGTGCTGCAGAGCAGAACAGGGTGCCCCACAAACTGAGCTGATCTCGGGTGAGCCTTCCCTCAGCCTGCGGCATTCGTCTTCCGAGACCACGAGATCTTCCCTGACACGGCTGAGAGAAACAACAGTAAAAACAGTCGTCGGTTTGTCATACCAGACCTCTGCTGCTCTGCTTCTTGGGAGCATGTTGATGCACGCATAAATTGCTAAAATTAGCCTGGGCCATGACTTGCAGAATGCCCAGGCAGCTATGTAGCACGAAAGTTATGCGTGAACCAGTCCCGCTTGCAGATTAAAACAAGAGGGAGAGTAAATGACAGATAACCCAGAGCGGGAGCGAAGGACTGAGCACGTTCTTTCCACGGAAGGATTGTGTTATGTGTCAGAATTAATTTAAAAGTTATTTAGCACAATCCCGTTGTCAGGAACACTACCATGATGTTTCTATTTAAAAACGGTGTTTTGGAACTTGTGCATTAGGCGGCAAACAGGAGCCCCAGCAATGTAGGGTTGCCAGGTCGAGGGGATAGGATTGTCACATCCAGGTTGGGAGACTCCTGGAGATTTGGGGATGGAGCCTGGGGAGGACAGGGACCTCAGTGGGGCACAATGCCATAGTGTCCACCAGGCGAGGTGAGGCGACGGGCAGGAACGGAAGCCGGCCAGACGAGGCGCGGAGGCGGAGCGACGCAGCAGGCCGGAGCCTAACTTGGACAGAGGCCGCTGCAGAGCATGCGCAGAAGCGCGAAGTGGTCCGGGCCTAGAGAGTTACGTCTGCTGGAAAGGACGGAAGTGCAAAAGACCAGCGCCGAAAGAAGGGCCGCCGCCAGGACTGTCCCCTCGCAAAGAATGATCTGCTACAGAAGAAAGGGTGCCTGGTAAGGCTTCTCACCTCCCTACTTACATGTGGCCCAAGATTAGGACTGTGTTAATTAATTAGAATTGTAAGCTGCTCAGAGCCCCTGGGGGGTGGTGGTGAGCGGGATAGGAAATCGCATGAAAAATAAAAAGGGTTCCCTCTAAGCTGAGTTCGTGTGAGCTAGCTCACAGTTTCTTAGCCTCCGGCTCACACATTTTTGTCTTAGCTCAGGAAGGAGGGCTCCAGAGCAAACTAATTTATGCAGTCGCCAAATGGCTGGCTTACAACTTTAATGCCAGTAGCTCACAAAGTAGAATTTTTGCGCACAAGACTCCACAGCCTAGAGGGAACATTGGTGTCCACTCTCCAAAGCATCGCATTTTCTCTGAAGGGACTGACCTCTGTAGTCTGGAGATGAGCTGTAATTCCAGGGGACCCTCAGGTTGCACCTGGAGGCTGGCATCCCTATGTGACGACGCACCCACAATTTAAGGGAAAGAATGGCATGGAGTTAGGGTTGCCAGTCTCCAGGTGGGGCCTGGAGAATTACAATTCATTTCCAGACGACAGAGATCAGGTCCCCCGGAGAAAACGGCTGCCTTGGAGGGTGGACTCTGTGGCCTTATAGCCTGCTGAGCTCCCTCCCCAGGTTCCACCCTCAGACTAGGGTTGCCAGCCTCCAGGTGGGGCCTGGGGATCTCCTGCTTTCACAACTGATCTCCAGCTGACAGAGATCGGCTCCCCTGGAGAAAATGGCTGCTTGGAAGGGTGGGCTGTATGGCATTGGACCATGCCCGGGTCCCTTCCCTCCCCAAACCCCGCCTTTTCCTGGATCCACCCCCAAAGTCTCCAGGTATTTTCCAACCAAGACCTGGCAACCCTACATTGGACCCCCAGGAATTTCCCAACCCAGAGCTGGTAATGCTTCATGGGATGGCTGTGGAAGCGTTTGGCTTCCTTCGAAGTGCCTGGTGGAATACCCTGAATTTTCAGCTGGCCTCTGGAGTGAATTAAAAAGAGGCCTATGCAGGGATCTTTATTGACAGCTTCCAAATGGCCAGGCCAAAAAGTAGAGTGTCATATTTTTTTTTAAGTCATTCCAATCAGTTTTTTAAACAGCCAACATTCCCTTAAGACAGACGCTTGCTGCTATAACTCTTGGAGCCAAAGGTACGTGCCATTAGGGTTGCCGAACTCCAGTTGGCACCTGGAGATTTCCCACTATTACAATTCATTTCCAGACAATGAAGATCAGTTCCCCTGGAGAAAATGGATGCTAGAGAGCCAGTCTGGTGCAGTGGTCAAGAGCGCGGACTCGAATCTGGGAGAACCGGGTTGGATTCACCCACTCCTCCAATTGCACCTGCTGGATGACCTTGGGCAAGCTGTAGTTCTGATAAGAGCTGTCCTTGAAAAAGAACAGTTTCTGTCAAGAGCTCTCTCAGCCCCACCTACCTCACAGGGTGTCTGTTGTGGGGAGGGGAAGGGAAAGGAGTTTGTAAGCCGCTCTGAGACACCTTTGGGTAGTGAAGGGCGGGGTATAAATCCACTCTCTTCTTCTTTGGAGATTGGATTGTAAGGCATTATACCGTACTGAGGTACTTCTCCTCTCTAATCCCGCCTTCCCCAGGCTCAACCCCCAAAATTTCCAGGTATTTCCCATCTCGGAGCTGGCAACCCTAACATACACGGAAGATACTTGTGAATTTAGTAAGAGGGAGTTTAGTGGGCCGTCAGAAGAATTACCAGAGTACCTAATCAGTGAGACAAAAGGTAACGTTACATTCATACAAGGAATTACCCTATGCTGTAGGACACCTCGCCCACTGTAAGGCGGAGGCAGACCCGGACTCAGAAAATGTATGTGACCTTCCAGAAAGAAGGGAATTATGATTTCATTCTGTTTTGTGGTAGTGGCGGAAAGCGCCTTCAAGTCACTACTGATTTTATGGTAGCCCCGTTGGGTTCTCAAGGCAAGAAGGGAATATAGATGATTCGGCATTGGCTGGTGGACTCCCATCCAAGTACCAGGCAGGGCTGACCCAGTGTAGCTTCCCCGCCCTGATGGGATTAGGGTTGCCAAGTAGGTGACAGTGGGGGAGAGTTGGTCCCTGCCCGGGACATTTGCACCCGTGCAATGCACGCGCGCTGTGATGACGTCACCCGGAAGTGACATCATCACGTTGGGCATGTCGCCGGCCAACGCTCTAACAATCAGCCTGGAAACTCTATGGTACCATAGAGTCTCCAGGCTGATTGCTAGAGTGTTGGCCGGCGACGTGCCCAATGTGATGATGTCACTTCTGGTTGATGTCATCGTGTGCCGGGCACGTCAGCCTGAACTGGGCACTTTGGGGGCAGGGTTGGGGGCCCTTTGGGCGGGCAAACCCCGCCTCCCTGGGGGACCTGGCAGCCCTAGATGAGATCAAACTCATCTGGACCATCCCAGGGCTCTGTTTGTTACTGTTAGGCTGCGGTCACACACACTGAATAATCTACTTTCAATCCACTTTCAGTCCACTATCCAAATGGATTTTGCCAGTTCACACAGTCGTAAAATCCAGCTGGAAAGTGGATTGAGAGTGGATTATTTAGAGTGTGTGACCGCAATATTAGCAGGGTTGCCAGCTTCAGGTTGAGAAATACCTGGAGATTTTGGGGGGTGGATGCTGAGGAAGGTCATGTTTAGGGAGAGGAGGGATTTCATTGGGGTATAATACCACAGAGTCCACCTTGCAAAGCAGCCATTTTCTCCAGGGGAACAGATTTCTGTCACCTGGAGATCCAGTTGTAATAGCGGGAGATCTCCAGCCATTGCCTGGAGGTTAGCAACCCTGCGTATTAGACCTGTACATCACCTTGTACTTCCTGCATTTCACGGCCCTTCAGCTGGCTGGTTTCTTGGTTTGTTTGTTTTTTGGTAGCTCCATTAAAGGTCTCTCTTGCAAGGAGCTAATCTCTGAAATTCTTCTGAAGGGGGGGGGCAGCTTTCATCCATGAAAAGCTTATGCAGGAATAAAATTTTGTTAGCCTTTAAGGTGCTGCCTTTCTTATGGTGTTATTGTCCCCGAGAGGAACATTGAAGCCGGTCCTGTCATTAGTATCTGGCCACTAAAGAGACGACGAGATCAATTCAATAGCAAAAGGTTTCCATTGCACAGAGCTAAAAAAAATGTTAAGGTGGGCATCATAAAAATTCAGGCGACTCCATTTCCTTTTATCGTTACCACAGAAGTAAAATTAAGAGAAAACACATTGTAAAAATGCTTTGGGCTTCAAAGCCAAGACATGGAAGTTAGGAAGGGGTAACTTTTGTATCTGCCCTTTTATTTATTTATTTCCTTCATTTATGCTCCGTCTTTTCCCCCAGTGAGGACTCAAAGCAGCTTACGTCATTCTACTTTCCTCTGTTTTATCCTCACAACAACCCTGTGAGGTAAAGCCACACACCTGAGAGTGTGTGATTTGCCCAAGGTCCCCAGAAAGCATCCATGGCAGAGTGAAGAGTGATTGTGGTTGCACTATCCCCCCCTCCCCCAAAGTGCACATTTTTTCTAAAGCTTCCCAGTTTTCCCTTCATTCCCGGTATGTTTTCCCACACCACAGAGTTTCCTGAGATTCCTAGAGCAACATGACATCACTTCCAGGTTTCTCCCAGAAGTGACATCATGCTGCATGCTACGATGGCTTTAAAAAAAATCTCAATAAGTGTGGCCAGCAGGAGTTCTCCCATCACAGTTGGAGACCTGGCAACCCTAAGGGGCATGTGTAGTGTGTGACATCACTTCCAGGTACATGACAGGAAGTTATGTCACAGCATCACATTACAGCCGTTTCCAGCATCTCCTCCCCCACCTGGAAGCTCCCAAGTAGCTCCCAGCAGCCCAGGCCTCAGGGCCTTTTCAGAACCTACTTAAAGCTCACTTAGTGCCTGGTTCTTCCAAGACACGGGACAGGAAGTGGTGTGGGAAGAGTCAGCCCTACAAACAACCCTGCGATTGCCCCATGGTGGAAGGCAGATCCTCCTCCTGGGTTCAGCGCAGAGGAGAAGTTGAATAGAGATGTGCTCAGACTTTGCCAACCCAAGTAAAAGGGCCAGCTGTGGACATCAGCTGTAATGTACTAGTTTCCTGTCCTGAGGGTTAAATAAAGATATAAACAAAGCCTTGAGGCCAGTCGAAGCCGTCTAAGGCGAGTCTCATAGAACGCTCTCCTTATGTCCTCAGAAACATTGCCATTCACAACCCTACTTTAATGCACTTCTGAAATACTTATGGAATGTTAGCCTCTTTGGGGAATGTGGCCAACCTGCACGACAACATTTTCACAGTGACCGATGACATCGGTGTTCACCTGCAAGGCCTTCCGTCTACCGAAATTCCTTTTTTCAAACACTCCTTGGGGGGGTGGGGGAAGGCCTTTCTGGTTCCACAAACATGTGGAAGGTTTCCTGTCAGAATCTCAGACATCATTAGAAAGCTACCAATCCTGGCTAAAATGAAGGATGGGAGACCAATGCTGTAAGTCATTCTGCGGAGAAAAGTGGGGTCTCTAAGTATCTAAGTAAATAAACAAACAATGCTCCACACAGTTGCTTAGGGTTGCCAGGTCTGGGTTTGGAAATACCTGGAGACTTTGGGGGTGGAGCCAGGAGAGGGCAGGGTTTGGGGAGGGGGAGGGGCCTCGGCGTGGTCCAATGCCAGAGTCCTCCCTCCAAAGCAGCCATTTTCTCCAGGGGAGCTGAGCTCCGTCAGATGGAGATCAGTTGTAAAAGCGGGAGATCTCCAGGCCCCACCTGGAGGCCGGCAACCCTGCAGTTGCTCTGCTGTAACTGATCCACTCAAAAGGGATCTCTGCTTTGGGCCTCACCCATGAAGCAGATTTTAAGGCCCCAAGAAACAATCACCTCTGGCCTAGGGTCACCAACCTCCAGGTGGGGCCTAAAGATTTCCAGGAATGACAACGGATGACCTCCAGACAACAGATCAAGATCAGTTCCCCTGGAGAAAGTGGCTGCTTTGGAGGGTGGACTCCATGGTTTTATATCCTGCCGAGGTCCCTCCCCTCCTCAAAGCCTGCCTTTCCTGGGCTTCACAACCGAATGTCCAAGATGGCAATCTGACTTCAGGTTCCAGCCAAGTCTGTGGCCTAGAAACCATTCCCCTTTATCTGAGACACGTGAGTGGGTGACCTAGCCTCCTTAAGAGTGGAGAAATGTACCCTGCACATGGCTCAAGGGCCTCCATTTTCATATCTTGCTGGGCTGAAGATTCAGGCATTGAATTTTAGGGCTGAAGCCACAGCTACGGTTGCCAGCTCCGGGTTGGGATATACCTGGAGATTTTTTGGGGGGGGAGCCTGGGGAGGGCAGGGCTTAGGGATGAGAATCACCTCAGCAGGGTCTAATGCCATAGAATCCACCCTCCAAAGCAGCCATTTTCTCCAGTGGAACTGATCTTGAACCTCTGGAGATCAATTGTAAAAGCAGGGGATCTCCAGGTGTCACCAGGAGGAGGAGGAGGAGGAGGAGGAGGAGGAGAGATTGGATACCCCGCCCTTCACTCGGAGTCTCAGAGTGGCTTACAAACTCCTTTCCCTTCCCCTCCCCACAACAGACACCCTGTGAGGTAGGTGGGGCTGAGAGAGCTCTAACAGGAACTGCCCTTTCAAGAACAGCTCTGACAGAACTATGGCTTGCCCAAGGTCATCCAGCCGCTGCAAGTGGAGGCGTGGGGAATCAAACCCGGTTCTCCCAGATTAGAGTCCGTGCACTTAACCACTATACCAAACTACAACCCTAGTCACAGCCTCAAAGGAGCGCCAAAATACAAGCTACTAAAAAATCCCCAAGAATGGAATCCCACATACAGTTACGTAGCACAAATGCCATTTAACTCAGCAGGATTTTCTGTGAGCTTGGAACTCAAGTTGTTGAATACCCAGCATCTGTTAACTACTTCAAAACCGTCATGCCAGCTGGGCAGTGGCGAAGCTGAGATTTCCAACACGGATGCATTTTTTCCAGCAAATTTTAACACATTCCGAAGCACTGGCTAAATTGATTTTTTGTAAAGTTATGCCATTTGCAGCTTTCGGTCCCGATCGGGCCCCGATTATATTGCATTTCTATTTCAGCTCCGATTCCAAAACAGAGGATTGTTTAAAAGTCTTACCGTCAATGGAGCATCCCCCTTGAACAGACCCCGAATAAATGCTCTCTGGGGGGTTATTCTGCTGAGTTGAAACAAGGTGAAGGGGCTGGCCGGGAGATGGGTGGAGGAGAATGAAATCTGAGCAGGCAGGAACGGACCCCACCGAAATGCATACAAGTGCCCGGAGCTGTTAAAAATAAAACTGGTGCGCTCGGCAATGTGACCACATGGCTCAGTTTATAGAGCACGGTCCTTCCATGATATTTATTTAAACTGCCACCACTGCAGCGATATTTATCGGAGAGAGAACAGGAACAGCTGATTCATGTCTCCGAAAAAGACAATAACATTCTCGGGCTGGTATGCAGTTTATAGCGGAAACATCTTTCTTACTGGCTGAAAAAGAGTTTTGTGGCATCTTCCTCTCGATGTAGTCTGTGCAAAATCTGATTCTGTACTGCCCTTCAGTTTCCCTGTTCTTTTATGCATAAATGTTAACAGAGGCACATATCTTTATCCGTTGCAGGATTATGGTGCTGTGCACTGAAAATTTAACTATTATGATCAACAAACTGTAGGTACAAGGCCCCCCCGATATTTCATACCCCGTCTTTGAATCCCCCGGTTATTTAAAAAAAAATTAAAATAAAAAAATCTCTTGCCATTTTTGCTGTGGAGATATAAGGGGAAATGTGTAAGGAGTTCTTATCCTGATTGCCTGGAAAGGAACAGGGGAAGCGAAAATGCACAGTGGCTGCAGCTGAGTGACTTAACCCCCTCCTGACCAAATTCATTCTCTTCTGCACCATCTCATCAACTTTTTGCCTTTGTCCTTCCCTTCATTCTTGTTTGATTCACGTCACTTAAGGACAAGAGAAAGGACTGGGCAGAAAACTGGAGTCAGATTTATAGTAAGTCGGGGCTGCTTGCTCTCTGTTTGCAGTGGGGAGTTTGCCTTGGGAATAGGAGGCCCGAGGGCAAGAATAGAAATATGAATGCCAAGTTTTCCCCCCGCCTGGTATCTGGTTTTAATCAGTAACCTTTCTGTAATCCCCTCTGCTGTAACTTACCTGTGTGAAGAAGGAATGCCTCTGAACATGTGCCGAGTGCTTTTTACTCCCCAGTGAGTAAACTCAGTCAAGCTGCTCCACAATTCAGGATCAGACCACACAGTTGCATCTATCTACTTGTATTAGGGATAACTTCTGGACTGGAGGGGATGATTTGCAGGCAACTTTAGCTTAGACATCTCCTAATTGGCTGACTGGTAAACAGCCCATCTCTTCAAAGGCATGACTGTGACTGCACACAGACAGCAGGTGTGGTACACCCCTTGTGGTGTATGTGGTGTACTACTATTAATGGGATATGACTGACCTCCCTAGCTCCCCAGTACAGCCCGGTTGGCCTGCTCCCGTCGCCCGCTCCTTCGGCCCACCCTCTCAACCAGAAGAAAGCGCCCAATTTTCACAACACACCTCCCTTCAAAAATGCATTTGGGTTTTGACTCTGCTGTTTTCCATCACCGTTTTCTATCACTCCCACTGGCCGTAGGGGCCCTCCCAGCCAGGGGGCTTTGGGCAGCTGTCTAGGCTTCCCCATAGGTAAGACGACCCTGTCCTCGTGCTTGGGGCATGGTAAGGTGTAAGGGCAGCCGTCAGGTGCAACTGACTCGCTACGATGCCAGAGACAGAGCTGGCTAAAGGATGAGGCAAGCTGGCAAAGAAGTGGGTGCAGCACCCCGCCGTCATTCCCTCCCTCCCTTCCTTGTGCTTGGGCCAGTTTGGTGTAGTGGTTAAGTGCGTGGACTCTAATGTGGGAGAACTGGGTTTGATTCCCCACTCCTCCACTTGCAGCTGGCTGGATGACTTTGGGCAAGCCATAGTTCTGTCAGAGCTGCTCTCTCAGAAGCAGTCCTTGAAAGAGCTCTCTCAGCCCCACCTCCATCACAGGGTGTCTGTTGTGAGGAGGGGAAGGGAAAGGAGAGTGTAAGCCGCTCTGAGCCTCCGAGTGAAGGGCAGGGTATAAATCCAGTCTCTTCTCTTGGTGCTGGCCAGCTGTGAGAAAGGGCAACCGAGCAGCAGAGCCAGGCTATATGGCCACCCGCCTCCACCCACGCCTCCCCCAGTCTCTCTTCGCCTCTCAAGTCACTGCTGGAGCTACTGCAGCAGCAGAACAGGCAGTGGGAGCCAGGGCAACTGCAGGGCTCTTTGGCCTTCCCAACTGCAGGGGCTGTGGGCAGCCGCCCCAGTTGTCCCACAATTAGGACCGCTAACATCCATCCCTGCATTGTGCCACCAGTATCCTTTTTAGGGTTGCCAAGTCTACTTACCTTGGTGGTGGGGGAGCCTCGGCGGGCTCCGGAAGCTCTCCGGTGATGCGTGCGCGCGCCGCCAGCACATCACAGGAAGTGACGCGCTACGTCGCTCACATTGAGGGCGTGGCCACAATCGTCGGAGGGAAAACCATAGTTTTCCCTCCAACGATCGGGGCCACACCCCCAATGTGAGTGCTTTGGGGGGCGGAGTTCCCCCTGGGGCCTGATTCCGCAGCGGTGGAAATCGGGCCTCCAAAGCAGGGGTTTACCCGCCACCCGCCCCCACTTGGCAACCCTAATTCCTGTTGCACTCAAACATCCCAGCATCTCTCTCCACTAAGGTTGCCAGCTCCAGGTTGGGAAATATCTGGAGATTTGGGGGATGGAGTCTGAGGAGGGTGGGGTTTGGGGGCATAATGCCATAGAGTCTAACTTCCAAGGTAGCCATTTTCTCCAGGTGAATTGATCTTGGTCACCTGGAGATAGGGCTGCCAAGTCCCCCCGGGGGGCGGAAAACTCTATGTTTTCCCCTTGTATGGTCGTGGCCCCGCCCCCAGCGTGCCTGGCGTCATAACGTCACTTCCCTGTGACGTGCATGCGGCGCGCGCCACCCAGGAGTCCCCCGCCAGCAAGGTAAGTCCGACTTGGCAACCCTACCTGGAGATCAATTGTAATAGTGTGTGTGGGGGGGGTGTCCTCCAGCCACCACATGGAGATTGGCAACCTCACTCTCCACATCCCTCCTCAAATGAGGATAAATATCATTAATCAGTTACCGGAGTTGCTGCGCAGTAGGAAATGCAACGTTTTGGTATTTCAATGTTCCATGAAAATTCTGTTCTGCACTAAATCAAGGTGGTTTCCCCATCACGGTGTAGAATCATTTTGCCCCAGTTCTCTACTTCTGCAAACTTGGGATACAACAAGGAATACGAGGATCAGCACTGTGTACAAATATTTCACATGACGCAATTACAATCCCATTCAAAGGAATGGATGAACCAGCTGTACCACTCAGGGAAGAAAATCCAAAAGTGAGGGGAAGACTCAACTGTGCGACTGAACAACAACAATTGAGCCCGATGGGGGCTCAAAGCAGCTTACACTGTTTTTCCTCTCCTCCATTTTATCATCACGACAACCCTGTGAGGTAGGCTAGGCTGAGAGAGCGTGACTGGCCCAAAGTCACCCAGCAAGATTCCATGGCACAGCAGGGATTTGAGCCTGGGTCTCCCCAGATCCTAATCTCACGCTCTAACTACTAGACTATGCTATGCTGGGACAATGAGCGGCCCGTGTTGTTAGACTGAACAAAACTTCCCTTTAATATTAATATAAATAAAATCCGAACATATTTTATTTAGAATACATTTCAAGAACAATCATCGTATTTTTACTATTAACAACATTAAAGCTATAATGGTAAAAAGAAAACCCTAAGAAAAAAATATCAGTGGAGGAAAAATGGTAAATTCGGCCTCCCACAGAATAGAACACAAATAAAATTAGGAACGCGCATGTGCAGATTGACCACACGCCTCAGTCACAATGAACAGACCCCTTTGCGCCACATCAAACTACAACTCCCAAAATGCATTGCCACGCGATTGCCGGAAACAACCCTCCACCTGTCGCTCACCGAAAACAGAAGGGGAGGAGGCAGAGAAATAGTGACGCACGTTATAACTTTCTCCAGTTCCAATTTCCACCGTATACAAGCCAGGAGCGCCACGCAAAAATACGGCAGCCACTCTACCTCCCCAATTTCTATGGTTCCCTATCCCGTTTCTTTACCCGGGTCCGCCAATCGGAAACCGGAAGTCTCACTACCGACACCTTCGAATCCATGCCTCTCCCGCTGTTTTAGAGCTTGCACTACCCGCTGTCAGAAAAGCGCGTCGCGGCGTTGATCGCTTGATGGCGCGCCCCTCGTGCGCTGCCTCCGATTGGCCGCCTGGCGCTGCAGGAGGAGGAGGAGGAGGAGGGCGGGAGACCCCGCGGGTTGCTAAGAGACCGAGCGTGGGTGGGCGGGCCCGACTTCCTGGTGTCGGCGGGCTTTAACCGAACAGGTGGACGGAAGCTGCGCCAAATGGCTGGCGCGGCGGCGCATGCGCAGCAGCGGCCTTCGCAGCCGGCTTCGCCGCGCCAGGAGTGAGTGGCTGAGGGAGCGGCGCCCGCGCTCGCGCGCCTCGGGCCCGAGGAAGGAGGGCGATTCGCCACAGAGCGAGGCCGCCCCAGGGGACGGACGGCCGGCCTGGCAGGTACCGGGAGGGGGAGAGAGGGGGGGAGGCGGGGCCTTGGGGAGGCCGCCGGGCCAGGGGAGGCCGGACCCCGCCCTGAGGACGGGACAGAGCCGGGCCGAGAAGGGCCGCAGGGAGGGTGTGTGTGACTGAGGGGGTGGGGGGGTTGACAGCCAGGGCAGCGCTCCTTCCTCCGGCGCCGCCGCCGCCGCCGCCGCCTTCATGCGCTCCCGGCCTCCGTGTAGCGGAAGCGGCTGTGCTCTGGGGGCAGAAAAGGCCCGGCCCGTGAAGCCGGGAGCCGTAGGGGGGGAAAGAATTGTCTCTTTCTCCCCACGGGAGGCGGCAGCGCGCCGAGACGCCTCCTGCGACGGGCCTGGCTGTGTCTCCCTCCCAGCATCCTTCCATCAGGCAGAGGGCCGGCTAGCTGGAGCAGAGGCGCCCGACTCATTGGTTACCAGGGCCGGATCTGACACAAATGTCACTTTTTTTGTCAGGCCGGCCCGTGTGGGCCACAGAAGGCGATGACGGGCGCTGGAGAGAGAGAAGCTGTACAAAGGACAGCGGCTCCTAAGCTCCGGGCTGGTGTATCCTCACTATAAGGCGCCCGTGGGCTGGGAGGGGGTGTGTGTGTGCGGAGGAAAACCCAAATAACAGATCTGTTGATTTTAGTTTGCATTTAAAAATTGTTTGTAACCTGTAACGAGTCATCCATAGCCTTGTGGACTCAGAGATCGGGCGATGCAGAAATTTAATTAATAATAATAATGATAATAACATGGGTATACTGTTAGTACAGCGATCCAGAGGAGTTTAGCCATGTTTGTTGCTGTAAAATAGTAAAAAGCCCAGTAGTGCCTTTAAGACTAACTTTCTTGTAGCATAAGCTGTTGAGAAACACAACTCTCTTCATCAGATGCATGGAGGGTATGCAGAGACTGGCCAGAGATATATAGGTGGTAAGGGGAGGGGGGAGAGGATGCGGTAAGTTCTATGTAGATGCAAAGCAGTTGCAAAAGTCATGAGAAAGGTAGAATGCACAATCCGGTCTGGCTTCTATTCCTTCTATTGATGAACCTGAATACAGCAGTTATAACAGTGGTAATAACATGAATGTACTGTTTTTTGTTGTTCAGTCGCACAGTTGAGTCCGACTCTTCGCGACCCCATAGACCAGATCACGCCAGGCCTTCCGGTCTTCCGCCGTCCTCTGAAGGACTGATTTGTTCTTCTTGCAGTCCAAGGGACTCTCAAGAGTCTTCTCCAGCACCATAGTTCAAAAGAATCTATTCTTCGGCGCTCGGCCTTCCTTATAGTCCAGCTCTCGCAGCCATACATGACTACTGGGAATACCATTGCTTTGACCATGCGGACTTTTGTTGGCAGGGTGATGTCTCTACTTTTTATCATGCTGTTTAGGTTCGCCATCGCTTTCCTCCCAAGGAGCAGGCGTCTTTTAATTTCATGGCTGCAGTCACAGTCTGCGGTGATCTGGGATCCCAGGAACGTGAAGTCTGTCACTACTTCCACAGCTTCCCCTTCTATTTGCCAAGGAGTGATGGGGCCGGATGCCATGATCTTAGTTTTTTTGATGTTGAGCTTCAAGCCCACTTTTGCGCTCTCCTCTTTTACTCTGAGCAAGAGGCTCTTTAGATCCTCTTCACTTTCAGCCATTAGAGTGGTATCATCTGCATATCTGAGGTTGTTGATCTTTTCCCCAGCAATCTTAATTCCCGCTTGTGATTCATCCAGGCCAGCATTTCGCATGATGTACTCTGCATATATATTAAATAAGCAAGGTGACAGTATACATCCTTGTCGTACTCCTTTTCCTATGCTGAACCAATCAGTTGTTCCGTATCCGGTTCTAACTGTCGCTTCTTGGCCCTTATACAGGTTTCTCAAGAGACATGTGAGGTGGTCTGGTACTCCCATCTCTTTAAGGACCTGCCATAGTTTGTTGTGATCCACACAGTCAAAGGCTTTAGCATAGTCAATGAAGCAGAAGTAGATATTTTTCTGGTACTCTCTTGCTTTCTCCATAATCCAGCGAATGTTGGCAATATGATCTCTCGTTCCTCTACCTCTTCGAAACCCAGCTTGTACTTCTGGCAGTTCTCTATCCACGTACTGTTGAAGCCTAGCTTGTAGGATCTTGAGCATGACCTTGCTAGCGTGTGATATGAGTGCAATTGTGCGATAGTTTGAACATTCCTTGGCATTGCCCTTCTTTGGGATTGGAATGTATACTGATCTTTTCCAATCCTGTGGCCACTGTTGCGTTTTCCAAATTTGCTGGCAAATGGAGTGCAGAACTTTAACAGCATCCTCTTCTAAGACTTTGAATAGCTCAGCTGGGATACCATCACCTCCACTAGCTTTGTTGTTAGTAATGCTTTCTAAGGCCCATTTAACTTCACATTCCAGGATGTCTGGCTCGAGGTCAGTGATTATACCGTCGTGGTTGTCAAGGACATCGAGGTCTTTCTTGTATAGTTCTTCTGTGTATTCTTGCCATCTTTTCCTAATCTCTTCTGCTTCTGTTAGGTCCCTACCGTTTTTGTCCTTTATCATGGCCATCTTTGCATGGAACGCTCCCTTGATTTCTCCAATTTTCTTGAAGAGATCTCTAGTCCTTCCCATTCTATTGTTTTCTTCTATTACTTTGCACTGTTCATTCAGGAAGGCCTCCTTATCTCTCCTTGCTGTTCTCTGGAAATCTGCGTTCAGTTGGGTAAATCTTTCCTTTTCGTCTTTGCCTTTTGCTTTCCTTCTTTCCTCTGCTATTTGTAAAGCCTCATCAGACAGCCACTTTGCTTTCTTGCATTTCTTTTTCTTTGGGATGGTGGTGATTGCTGCCTCCTGTACAATGTCACGAACCTCCGTCCATAGTTCTTCAGGCACTCTATCTATCAAATCTAGACCCTTGAATCTATTCTTCACCTCTACTGTATATTCATCAGGGATGCGATATAGGTCAAACCTGAATGGCCTAGTGGTTTTCCTAATTTTCTTCAGTTTAAGTCGGAATTTTGCAATGAGTAGCTTATGATCTGAGCCACAGTCAGGTCCAGGTCTTGTTTTTACTGACTGGATAGAGCTTCTCAATCTTTGTCTGCAAATTATATAGTCAATCTGATACACAATCTAATATACACAGCGGGTATACAGTGGTGCAACAGTGAGCAGGTGCTCCCACTCCCATGCTGCTTGTCTGCTGCAGATGAGGTTCTTCTGCTGTGCTGAAGCCACAATCAGAGTGGTTCCACCCACTCCCCTCCTTCTGTTCCCCCCTTGCACCAGTTGCCCACAGGCCTCATAAGTGCCCTAGATGGGCTGGTTCTGGCATCCAGGCCCTTGTTGTAAGCCGCCCTGAGGCCGCATGCGGGGAGGGTGGAATAAAAATGTAATAAATGAAGTGAAATGAATGTTTGACACCCCTGAGTTATGGGTTGACAGCAGGGCACAGAGGCCGAGGCCGCCTTTCCCTGGTGCTGGGGAGAGGCCGTGGCTTAGTAAGTAGAGCATCTTCTTGGCATGCAGAAGTTCCCTGGTTCAGACCTCGGAATCTGCAGTGGAATCAGCCAGGTACTAGGTGAAGTGAAAGCCTGGGAGCCTGGAGGATAGCGCCAGTCTGTTAGGTGATGGGAACCATCTCTACCTGAGCCTCTGCTGGAGTAGGCAGTATTGACCTGCATGGACCAGTGGTCTGGTTTTGTATGAGTTATATTCACCTGACTTGAACCTGTGTCTCACAGTTCGTAGTCAGACACTGTAACTATTACAGCGTGTTGGTTCATTCATTAGCCCTGCTATATGAAACACCTTTAAGCACAGAGAATGAATAAGAAGAGCCTTGCTGAATCAGGCCAGTGCTCCATCTAGTCCAGCATCCTGTCTCACACAGCAGCCAGCCAGTTGCCCTAAAGGACCAACAAAGAGGATGTAGAGGCTGAGGTTTTCTCCTGATGCAGTTTCCTGGCTCTAGCATTCAGAAGTTTATTGCTTCTGAATGTGGTGGTTCCCTTTGGTCTGTATACCTGCTAGACGTTGATGGACCTCTTCTCCAAGAGTCTGTCTAGTCCCTTTATAAGTTACCATCACTACATCCTGTGGCACTGAATTCCATAATGTAGTTACTTGTTGAATAAGTATCTATTTCCTGAATCTCATTTCCATCATCTTCATAGGCTTACACCCACTTTCTAGTATAGGAGAGGGAGACTTCTCCACCCAGGTTCGAATCCCTGCTTTGCCATAGGTTAGTCACACACACTCAGCACAATGTACCTTACAGGCTTGTGGTGAGGATAAAATGGAGAGCGATCTAAGCTACTTTGGGTTCCCGGTGGGAAAAATAAAGCAAATAAATAAACCTGCTTGGTGCCTTTAAGAAAATGTTTTGAAATAAATATAGGAAAAGGCAATTGGAATGTGGATTTTTTGGATCTGTCTAGCTGATCAGGATCTATGTGAAATAAACTCTTGTGCAGTCGTTTCAGACTTCTGGAATATCAGCATTCACGTATGTAATCCAACAGTTTTGTTAAATTAAGTAAGCAAGAGAAGTATGTTCTGAGTCTTCTTTATAGTACTAGGAAATGCCTTTCTTTGCCTTTCTGGGAGAAAGTTCAAGCTCAAAATCCAGGTCAGGTTGACACAGTTGGTGCTTGCATGATTTTGAAGGCTTCTATTCCTATCCAAAAGCCTCTTCAAACTTTCAAAATAAAGTTGGTCTGTGTGTATGTGTCACTTTGCAATGTTTGTTGGTGGCAGGAGGGTGCAGTGCAAGAAGGCTGTCAGCTTTTTGCCTGTTCAAACCTCTGGAACTGGAGATACTGATGGATTCTATACATGCATGGCAGCTACTAAGGAACTAGGTTACCATAGATCAATCAGGGTGTGTTGGGGGGGGGGGGCGTTATCAGTGCCTCTAGTAGACTTGGTCATTAGACCAGACATTCCTGTATGTGAGCATTAAAGAAGACAGTGTAATCATACTCAATTAATTTGTTTATATAGTA